TTCATATGTGCCCCCGAAATATGTCCAAATGCTTGAATGTTAAAGAGTACCGCAAATCCAAAACCAAGTGCTCCGTAAATAGGGGACTTGGTGTTAACACCGTCGAAGGGTATACATGACATACAGCCAAGCAGAACTAACAACAACGTGGAAAAAAATTCCGCGAGTATTGCTCTCCACCATAACTTATACCAAATCGATATTCTATTCTTTACTATTATTTCGTTTTCCTTGGGGGACAATTCGTCAACGATTCCAATAAAAATATTACTTGCCGGCACCGTCATTATTGAACACTTCTTAAATATGCTCACATTAACAAACACTAAAGGCCCACAATAACAAGCACTCCAAACATGGTGTATTTATAGCTGTGATATGTCACACATTCAAATTAAGTTCGAGTATCATTTCTCTTGTAAACACGACTGTATCGGAGCAGAAGCGCGGTATATATATTGATGCAGCCTTTGAGGAATACGCTCGAAATAGGCACAGAATACTAATACAAACAGGCAGCTGTTATCGTGTAGTCTAACCGCGTACCAGGAAAAGTATATCATAGAACATATTTATACTCTTCGAAAGTTCAATGTGTAATGTCTCTTCATATACTCTTTTGTTTTTGTTGTTCAATAAAAGCATAAATTGTCCATTATATATTTAGTCCTTAATCACTTTAAGAAACGAAATTAACTATATTACTATCTCCATCCAAATTAATATGATTTTAATAACTGACAATTAATTTGTGATAGTCAGTGAGTTTGTTCGAAAATCTGATAACCATAATTGCCCAGTTTAAATCATAACAATCATTCGAACAAGAATTTTAATTGGCTTGATAAGTAAAACCTAGGAACTAGGAAGGTATGTAAAGCCATAAAAGGTTGCAATTAAACTTGTGGAGCAACACGTAAAGGGTACCAAAAATGAGATCTTAATATTTTAATGGAATAATTAACCAATTGTGCAAGATGAATGCCAAACAATATCATTTTTGACAAACATGGAATGCTGTTGAATATCTTCCAAATATTCTCAAGTAAATGCGAGTCCAAGATTCAAGGTTTATTGAAAACGTATTCGTTAGTTACAAGGTCGTTTAACTTTATTTTCATTGAGAAACCTTACAACATTACAGATTCCATTAAGTAGGTACCTAAATAGTGTGATTTATTCGACCATAAATTACAAGATAACGGCATTTGATTATTATTTTAAATACGGACTTCAAGAATCTAGTAGATATTTTCACGTTAAATTGAATAGATATTGACTTTTATAATATTGAGTTTGATTTCTGCCGACACAAACGCTTACTAAAGGCCTTAGCAATTGAAATAGCAGCAGCAGCTTTACTATACGAAAGAGACAGAACCGAAATAATGCTTAATGGACAATTTGTAAACCATAGTCCGATAACAGTTACCTTTCTCTAATATCTGTCATTGCATTGTATTTTTCGGTTGGCATCAGAGGGTTCTTTCAAATAATATAAAAGTTAATAATGTGATTTTTTTTTGTAGTCGGTCATTACTATGTCGTTTAATATACCTAAAAATAATCCAAAGTAACTGTAGAAAACGTTACTATCTTGTGTGCTAGTGTGTGTTAGTTCAAGTTAAAAGGAGAAAAATTATATCCCAATAATCCGATTTGAAAATTCTCTACAACAGATAGCAGTCATGACCAGTATTAAAAATTAGTGTTACCTGCTATACGTATTTTCCCTATAGTAGTAGAGTTTGTAGTCATAAATTTTGACATTAATTTTTTGCTCAATTTTTATTATATAGTATATCTGAGATAACTGCCGCTTCCAGTTCTAATTAAAAAAACGGGTTCAGTAGAAGAACAAACAGTTTTCTGAAACATATACAAAAATAAAAATATTAATTAAAGGTCGTGATATGAACGTGAAGGTCGACCTTATAACTCGATGAAACGTACATACATACACGCTTCGTAAGTACTCTGTCTCAAAACGTGGGCAGACGGAAGGGTTTTAAAAAGTGACGATGTTGCAGCGTTCGCTTGTTGTTCATGGCGGCTGTGAAATGGGCTTTATAGATACCAAATGACAGGGGACTAACACAACGATACGAACCGAACCAATTTTATGAAATGGCTCCAATAAAAAAGACTTCTATATAATATACCGCCTGAAAGTTTGATATTCGTGGACGCTCATAACACTATGTATCTTATCACACTGTGAACGTCATATAAATTAATATCCCAAATAAAGGGCTGCCTTATCTACCTATAGTGAATTGTTCGAAATTATTAAGGAATATAAAGAAGCTCCAATTTATGATGCTGATTATGCATGAGGAGCATGGACATATTTGGCTGGATTACCACAGTGCAAATTGAATGTCACTGAATTTATATGTATTCTTTTGAAGTAGCTTCCAAATCTGTAGTGCCAGAAGATTGGCAAGAGCAACGTGAACAAGCACGTCTTGTCAAGATAATGAATAATTTTATTAAAAAGATGTTCATGCACATTAAATTCCGTGATTTTAGTTTATATTCTGAAAACGGTTAAACGTAAAACGACATAAAAGTAAAAAGTAACAGCCTATACATGTCCCACTGCTGGGCAAAGGCCTCCTCTATACAGAGAGTATCAGGGCATAGTCCACCACGCGGCCCCACTGCGGACTTCACATATCTTAAAAATATATTTTTTTGTTATTATTTCGAAAATATGCAGGTTTCCTCACGATGTTTTCCTTCACTGCGGAGCACGTGATAAGTCAGCACTTAAAGTTAAAAACTTCATTGGTGTCGGCACCGGGGATCGAACTCAGGTTGCTCGAGTATATTGAATTAAAGGCGAGCGCCCGGACACTGAGCTACCTCGGCTCTAAACGACAATTTGACTTAATATAGAATAAACGCTAACTTTTTTATTGATAACATTATCCCACATCGTTGATATGTTTCAACGTTCTTCGATTTAAGTTTAAACATTTATCAGCTAACTGCGCAAGACGATCCAACATACAAGTATCATGGTGCAGTATTTTTAGTCGTACATTGTCATTTATGAAATAATTAGTATTCATTTATTCTGCTAACAGCTATTGGTTCATAATCTCATGGTAGATCTATAGACTTGTCACGTAAGGAATAGGGTTCAATTTCGCATGTCGTGCAAGATTAAGTTTTCTGTTATTCGGATCGTTTACATTAAGAAACACCTTTCTTTCGGCCCACCTTTCTACATTTTTTAAAGACGTACGAGTTTTTGTAAACTGACATAAATAAAACTATGGTTTTCAAAAAGTAATACTAGAAGGCTTCGAATTTCGGCAGAGTTAGAGTACACAGTAAAGAAATATAAAGCTAAATATAAACATTAAAATTAATTCAAAATAATATTATGAATGTTTGAGTTTTGGCGCCTTTGGTAAAATGCAGTGAGGCATCAGCACTTTCGAAAATGGCTACGATACGAAACTTTTCTTAAAAAAAAAGTTTCTCGCATGCATAGTCATCATCATTATCAATTTTAGCCTTTCGCAGTCAGTTTCGCTGCTGGACATAGGTCTCTCTCATTGCAAGCAATCTTGTACGATCCTAGGCTTCAAGCATCCCCTCCGACCTTGTTCCCACCTTGACGCGGCGGAGGGGATTAGTTGCCGTGGCGTCACCGACGTCATCCATGGCGAAGCTAAGACGAACCAACACTGGGCCGACCTGTGGTGTAAGGCTAGCCCGAGGGGGCCGCTCCGAGTAGGCTCATTGAGCTCACTCTGGATGCGTGCTTGGAGGGTGCAGGGGACCGGTCGAGGGTGGTAGAGGTGGAGCCACTCTCCCTGTCTTCTGCTACCGACGAGGAGTCGCGGGGAAGAGGAGTGTCGGTATTGCGTTTGGCCGCTCTCCCTGTCCTCCGCGACTCGGCGGGGCTGCACCGCTGATTCAGTAGTGGTGGGGCCGCGGGGGGGAGAGGAGTGTCGGTATTGCGTTTGGCCGCTCTACCTGTCCTCCGCGACTCAGCGGGGCTGCACCGCTGATGCGGTGGTGGTGGGGCCGCGGGGGGAGAGGAGTGTCGGTATTGCGTTTGGCCGCTCTACCTGTCCTCCGCGACTCAGCGGGGCTGCACCGCTGATGCGGTGGTGGTGGGGCCGCGGGGGGAGAGGAGTGTCGGTATTGCGTTTGGCCGCTCTACGTATCCTCCGCGACTCAGCGGGGCTGCACCGCTGATGCGGTGGTGGTGGGGCCGGGGGGGGAGAGGAGTGTCGGTATTGCGTTTGGCCGCTCTACCTGTCCTCCGCGACTCAGCGGGGCTGCACCGCTGATGCGGTGGTGGTGGGGCCGCGGGGGGAGAGGAGTGTCGGTATTGCGTTTGGCTGCTCTCCATGTCCTCCGCGACCGATCTCTACGACGAGTTGTTTCGAATTTTTAGACACTCAAATCAATATTTCGATTACTTTGACTACGCAAGAAAGCCATAGATAAACCAGGCACGAGGTGAAAGTATTTACATTTGGCGTATCACGGCGAGTTCATTAAGAAGTAGGAAACATTTGTACAACATGAGTGCCCATAGGAATCCAATAGGTTACTATCAGGTCAATGTCTTGCTAGGTTGCCGAGTTTGTAATATAAAAAATAAAATAAGTATATATAATAAAAAAGAAATGTGAAAAAGCCACTTTTGCACCAGGACAAAGCGGAGAATGGTCAGAAATAAAAGACATTTGTTCAATAACATAAGTCTATTTTATAATTTTAAACATAAAATTACACCAACTGCTCACAAGCAAATGACTACGGTGACATTAAAATGAGTAGTCACATTGAAAGACCTTAACACTACAATAATAAGTACTAAACAGAGTAGCTTTAATATGGGAGAAAAGTCGCCGATATCCGAAATATTTTAAAGAAGTCTAGACAGAAAAAGAACAGTGCTTAGCACGACACGGTATGCAAATAATTTATAATGAATGATTTCATATCAGCTCGATGGGGAGTGGCCCTCAGATGTTTTCCTCCAAGTCCTGTAAAAACATACACTAGTTTGTAGAATCTAGGCCAGATTTCCTCTGAACAATATGTTTGTATATATTATTGAACTAGCTGCGGCCCGTGACTACGTCTGCGTAGAATAGGCTGAAGGTTTAACATTCAGACAGACATATATACATAAAAATATGTATATAAATTATAGCCTATGTTTTATTCTGATGTATAAGCTATATTATTGTAGTTATATTAAAATCCATTCAGTAGTATTTGCGTCAAAGAGTAACAAACATCCATCCATTCATACAAACTTTCGCCTTTATAACATTAGTAAGGATGATACTGGCGACTGACAATCGTGATAGCTATACTATATAAACAGCGATACTTCAACAGCAAAGTTTTAAAGGTCATGACAATTATTAACCTCGAACCTATCTAGTGTAAACATTCTAATCCAGCTTGCCTCACCGATACGATAGAAGATTGAACACCAGCACTTGTAATACTTAATCTATTGGCAGTTTACACTATGTGTTACGATATCTGTTACGTTTCAAAGCACAACTTTCAACAGCAGTTAGTTTAAACAGTACACATACACTAAAAGTAATGACTAGATTTTTCATACAATTTTTTCGGTCACTACGGTTTACGCGAATTTAATTTGACAACGTGGAATCTAATAAGAAAATAAAATTATATATCGTTCACCAGACTACGGAAATTATGCCAAATAAATATTCGTATAATGTAAAATGAGTCGGTGGCGCCATTGGTACGCTATTGATTTTGGCGTCGCGATTTGTGGGTTCGATTCCCACACGGGACAAGTATTTGTGTGACCCACAGATAATTTTTCCGGATCTGGATTTTTATTCCCAAGGAGGGTTTACGTCAGGCAGGCTTAAAAACCACTTACAACATGATTCACATATAGTGCCAACCCCACATAGGTGGGGTAAGGGCAGGAGGATGAGGTATATTGAAAATATTCTCGCCCTTTCAACTGTATTGTTACTTGACACCAGATGACAATGTAGCATTTCTTCTTATAAATTAACTAAAATATTTTTTATCTATGGAAATAAACATGTACTATGTAGATAGTTTGACTCAAATTTAAAGCTTCTAAAATTGTAGATAAATTCATAGCGTATTATAGGTACAAAAATAATTATAAATAGACTAGAAAACTTTGAAAGCTATTGATTTAACACTAATGTCACTATTTACAACAAAAAAGATAACATCACGTTCATAATATTTGTATCAATCAATCAGTTCACTCTTCAGTCGACTACGCAATGTATAAAAATAACGTGACATTATTTATTTAATGTTAAATGCCCCGTAAGGGATAAAATGTACAAAAATATCGTATCGGTCAAACAAACTGCATTTATATACTGCCTTATAAATCTATTACATATATTATTTATGATAAAATTTTATAGTAATTAGTTAGAAAACGTATTAACATGATTAGATCATCCCTTCGTGAGCTGCGTAATTAAAGAATTATTTTAATTCATTATAAATTTTCTTTCTATATATTTCCTTGTGTGCAATAAAGTATATTCTATTTACGCTGTTTTAATATATAAAGAGAATAATTGTATTCATTTGTTATAATATACCACGTTTTCACAATTAACAAGAGATGCAGCGTGAAATCACTAAAACAAATAGACAGACGAGTACCCGACATGTTTTCTTTCAGTTCTGAGATATTAAGTGCCAGACAGACAAGGAAGCGAGTCGATAATACCGTGGTAAAAAGCACAATACACATTTAAGCAGTGACGCGATGTTAAACGGTTAATGTTCCCAAATGTATAGAGCGAGCAAAACGTCTGGCGTGCTTTTAGATTTTGTGAAGCCATTCCATACAGCTAATGTATTTAACCAATTTAGTTAAACGCGTTCATCGCTAGACGGTACATACTCCACATTCGCGTATGGTTCACTCGGGAGCGTTCGTTTTGCGCGGCCTATACGGATGTATTAGTACTAGCGAGGTCCCATTGAGGTGTTAGTTAGCGCATGCTGTCGGCGATTGGGTTTTAGCGGCCCTATTGATACTGTCGTAAAATGTGATGTATTCACTAACAGTTGGGTCGCAGTCGGCGCAGTGCCACGAGTAGCCGCGCTTCTTCGGGTTCTTGTTTAGCGGCGGCTCCAGGCAGGTGAAGTGGTACCTTTTGTGGCACTCGTCACACCTACGGACAGTCAACTGTGAGTGGGCTTTCGCCAAGCGCTGACCACTTTGGACTACTAACATGGAACTGGATGCTAGGTGAGACGCCTTAGATTCAATACTAACGTTTTCGTAATAATATAAACCTTCAATTTAATGAGAACGGTTGTCGTCGTTGGGTAACGTGGATGGCATACTTCACATAATGGCAAGCAGTTATAAACGTGTACATGTCACGGCCACGGATACATGTCTCATAATACGGATGTGTGCATGTCAACATTCGAAGATATATGTAAGTACAAATCTGTACGAGTAAACAATACATGTAAACGGTGAGAAGGCACGCCCCAATGAATTTCCGAGTAAGCGAATGGAGGGATGTACCGTTATTATATAACTATAATATTATGACTCGGAATACCTCTGCATGTCCCCATGTGTAAGTCGATATGAACAGTGTAGGTCACCTTAGAGAATGAACGTCACGAATGCGAATGTACACATAGGGTCTTTTCACAAATCTGCACTAGGTGGATGGAAAGAGCATGGTCATAGCTGGCGAATTCGTAGGAGTAATCGGATGTTGACGTCATAAATCTATCTGTTAAAGAAAAGGAGGTGTTAAGGAAAATGTACGAGTGAACAAATAGAGGGAGCATTATCTCTGCGGGCTAGCACGGAACACTGTCACAAATCGGCACACGCATGGTCTTTCATACAGGTCTTGGCAGTCAGCAGAATTCCAATTATGGAGTGACTCCACTGTTGAGGGAAAATCTGGATGGCGCCACAATCGAAACATCCGTCATCGATCCTATGAAGTCTAATGCCCATGTTGTCATATTTTCATCCTCAGGGCGTCGTCGTCCTCAAAGACGCTAGCGCTACGACACCTTAAGGTGCGCACGCCGAAACAGAATTCCAAGACCTGTGTGAAATGCCGTGGTTACACCTAAAAATGCGAGCGGAGAGCCCGAGGAGGCCGGTGGAGTGGGAGGGCGGGGCTGAGGGGTCAAAGTGCCGGGGTTCATGGAGGGATGGGCGTGGAGGGGGTGGGGATGTCGAAAGAGAAGAATAATATCGATATTTATAAAAATATCAAACCCAAGAAACCCTTTGACCAAAAATAAATACTAATAACTAAATAAACAACTTCAAGTAAGTATTAAATATTTGACAACTACGGACTCTGTGCCGGATTCGAATTTGAAAAAATATCGTTTTAGATACGATTTGTGTTACGATACAGAATATTTTGTATGAATATATCGATACATCGGATCCAAATATATCGACTGAGAATATCGATATATAAAATCAAAAATACCTATATATCGATACTTTTTCGACATCCCTAGGAGGGGGGGCTTCTAGCTACTCACCGCACGAGGTTGGTGGCGTCGCCCGGTTGCGAGCACACGTCGCAGTGCGTGAGGGGCGTCAGCGCCGCCGCGGGGGCAACGCCCTCGCCGCCGCCGCTACGACGAGCCCTGCTCTCGCGGGAGCGCTGCAATGTGCGAACGAGTCGAAGCGATGAGCGACAGAGAGAGAGAGATAAACGACTAATGCCCGGTTCCTATATTCAACGAACGGCCGTTACTAACATAGCTTCGTAACTTTCATAACGACTTGTATATAAAGGCGGTTTCTATATTAACAAAACGAGGCGTTTTCCTTACGAGCCGTCGCATTACCTACGGAAAGTGAGTAACTAGCGCCCCTTTAATCTACAAGTAGTTCTGAAAGTTACGAAGCTATGTAACTAACGGCCGTTCGTTGAATATAGGAACCGGGCATAAGCGGGTTTTTAACAAGCCAGATTGTTGCCGGACGCGGTTCATCCTGTGGACAGACCCTGTGGATCGACCTGACGCATAGCGATGATTCGATGGCACAGATTCCATGGCATTGGCATCGGAGCCGGGGGTCGTGGGTTCGATTCCCACACGGAACAGCTATTTGTGTGACCCATAGGTAATAGTTTCGGATCTGGATAATAGCCCACGTGAAACTTATGTCTGTAAACGTCCTTACAACACAGGATAACACTTATAGCTACAGTAAGAACAATGTTTAAAAAAATAAATATAAAAATGAGAAAATAGAGAATTCATCAAAAATTTATCAAAATGAGGCTACTTTTGGCAGATTTTTTAACGAGTGATTATCGCCGCTCTTCGACATCTGTAACAGCCACGCTTTGCCAACCTTTAACTGGGTTACCTCATTCAAACAAACAATAGGAAAGTCTTAAATTGATGATGTTGATCTTCTATACGACCAAGGCGTGCTACAAACAAACCGCAAGTTGTCCTATTGTCATTGGCTTCATTCATTTGTTATAATACCGACATTTATAAACAATCGATCTCGCAAGCATTTCGACTGACTAATAACATATACTCGAATTCCTCCCCAACCTTAATTATTTATTACACTTCCTTTCAAAGTTAAATTACCTTAGGTTTAGTCGACGCGATATCCGTTGGTTTATCTTTTTTCTCTTCGGATTGCTTGCGTAAAACAATCAATGTTTATTACAACATAAATAATATCATTAAAAAAATAGTATGGTCTAAATTAACACCCAAAATCCCATAGTTGTCATTACATCATCATCATCATCCTGCTCTTATCTCACCTACGTGGGGTCGGCAGAACATTTGAATCATGTTGTAAGCGCTTTTGGTTATGGTTTTTACGACCGGCCGCCTGCCTGACGTCAAACCTCGTTGTGAAACAAGCACCCAGATCCGGAACAAATACTTGTGGAAAACACATATAATTGTCCCGTGTGGGAATCGAACCCACGACTCCCGACGACGAAGTGAATAGCTTACCAACGGCGCCCCCATGGTCGATCGTCATATTTAAATTGTTTGGATGGCAAATGTAATATACACTACATAGTCCCGCTGTCTGTCTGTCCCTACATATGCTTACATCTTTAAAACTATTTGATGCTGTTTTCTTTAATAGATAGAGTGATTTAAGAGGAAGGTCATGCATCATATAGTAGAGAAAGACTGATAATTTTAGAGGTTTCTAATGCGATGTCGAAAACAAACATTCAGCATTGCACCCGTGCGAAGCCGATGCGGGTCGCTAGTAATATAATAAAAATAACAACTATTTGGAACAAATGGATACTTACCGGGTTAACGACGTCTGTTGTTGATTGAGTCTGCGTTGGAGATTTCGCTTCTTCTATTTCGGTACTTTGTGCCGCTTGCTGCGAATAAGTATGCGAAACGGCGTCAATTATGTGGATTTTATACAATTTTTTATATGAGAAGTTCTATTGTTACAAGATTCGTAGAAAAAGTACTAAAAGATTGTCGCCACTGTGGGAATCGAAACCACGTCTTCGGCATTCGCGGCCTGACGCTTTAGCCACTGAGCTAAACGGCTGCTTGCCACACCGACGAAAATCTTAACGTTTTTTATCTACATTATTTTTTAGCATTCGAAGCAATGCTTGGATATGGAAAAATGGATTGTTGTTTCTTAATATTAAAGCTCACCTTTGACAGTTTCTTCATAACAGCAGGCGGCGGGCCGTCGTTGCTATCCGTTGGAACGTAAAACATTTGCGTATCCAACGACCCATCCGGCTTTGGTATAGGCTTGATCTGAAACATATACAACAATGCCCCTTGAATTTTGACACCAGCATAAAGTAACCGCCCTATTTGCCCCACTGTTGAGCAAAGTCCAAGCAAATCAATTTGAGATATTTGATCTCGGGTTGCTCGAAAATAACTCGAGCTAACCGAGTTCTAATCTCGCGAACGAGCGAGCTAACGAGCTAACAAGAATCAAGCTTGATAAAACTTTAATTGATTATTAAACTTCTCAATTATAACTTAAACTGTTTATTCTCAAGTGATCGAAGGATTAAAAAGTGATGCAAAAACCTTGATAGTGATCCTCGGGTGCGGCGGCTCGGGATTTTCCATGTCCTGGGTCTTCTTTTTCCTCTTGTGCTTGTGGGACTTCGAAGGGGAGCGCAGCAGGTCCGGCGAGTAGCGGGACCGGTGCTTCTCTTTCCTCCGCTTCCTATTCGCTTTGTACGTGGCAATGTCCGAGGAAAGGTTCGCCAGGGTGCTCTCGATGGAGCTCTCGATCGCCTTCGCGTCCCTCTCCTTCGAGTCGCCGAGGAGGGAGGAGAACGAGAGATTCTGCGGGAAGTAGCCCTCTTCCCTCTTCACGGTGTTCGTCAACGACGCGTTCGAGTTCTCGTTGTTCGAGTCGTTAGGGCTGTCGGCGACGATGGGCGTTATCGACATCAGGGGTGTGTTGGTCAGCGTCGGCGAAGTGAAGCTCCGCTTGTGCTGCTTCTTCGACGGGAGCTCCTCGCCGAACGCCGAGTACTCCTTCTGCTTGGACGATTTCGTCTTCTTGCGGACCTTAGGCTCGGCGGTCTCGTTCTCCTCGCTGAACTCGAACGGCTTGATGGTGACCTTGATCGGCGATATCTGGTTCTCGGCGGCGCCGATCCCGTTCGGCTTGCTCTTCTCCGGCCTGTAGGCCCGCTCGGGCCTCCTGGGCGGCGGCGATGTGGCCACCGAGCCGGGACTTTGCGGCTCCGAGATGATCGCGCCGTCCTTGCTGTACCGTATCCGCGAGCGGCGGGGCACCTTCTTCTCCAGCACTTCGGGCTCCGAGTCCGAAGTCTTGTCGCACTCGGAGCATTGCCTGTGAGGAGTTCGGAATCGTTAAGCGTGAGCGGCTTCAGTGTTTCAGTGTGTACTTTTTTTTTCTTTTGCGGTCCAACCGGGCAGTGAAGTATCGGATGCGATCCGCAGTTTACAAAGCATGTTTTTTCTCTATCTGATGGTGATCCCTATAGACCTCTGCTTGAAATATAATGCTAGAAATACCCTAGCATAAAAAGGGTTGTCGTAGCACAGCGCCAAAAGACATTTAATTACTTTATTTTAATTAATTACGTAAGGGGTTTAGGAGATGTTCATCTCGAATCTCCCACAAATTTTAGTTATTCCCATTTAATAATTTTATTGCTCTATTTTCTCACGGTGATTCTGGAATACTTTCTTATTAGTCTTAAATAAAAATTAGTAAGTAAAATTGTTATTGTTTTTTAAATAAACGTAACTCTGTTGCACTCACAGACAACCAACGTGAATTTGGGAAGTATCATACTTTCGGGTTTCCTCTGGTGAGTGGGGTCAATTAAGTAAATTATTTTTTTTAAGAGTTATCAATATATCTCAAAGCCCTCAGGTGTAGATGTTCATGGCGACGTTAATAACATGTGACACAGGTGAACCACTTGCTAGCTTGACAACTATTCACATAATAAAATCAATCAAACATGAATAAAGAATTTACGTGAGATTAGGTGGGAGGAGTCGAGCGGGTCGAATATTCGTTTGCCACTTTCTCGCATAAACAAGGGAGACACATATGCCTTCCCCAAAAGCCGGCAACGCAGTTGTGACTCTTCCGATATTGCAAGTGTCCGTGGGCGGCGGTGATCGCTTGCGCGTCTGTCGTTTTGCCCCCCTTTGCCGTTAAAAAGTAAAGGCGGCGCGTACCAGCCGTAGAGCTTGCTCTTCTTGGGCGGGCGCTGCAGCGGCGGCTTGAGGCAGTGCAGGTGGTAGTGGTGGCGGCAGGTGTCGCAGGCGGCCATCAGGTGGCGCTCGCTGCTGCGGCCGCAGGCGGCGCACTCGCGGGCGGCCAGCGCGCCGCTCGTGGCTGGGCACGCGCGTCCGAACGGTTACGGGAACGGTCGGCGGAACGGACAAAACTTCAATGCGCCCCGCGAGGTTCATTTATTTATTTGGTCTATATTGCATTTCCTCTTATTCGGAACACGGGTTGTCGTTCGTTACCACGAAACTGCTATGCGCCTCGCGAAGTGCGCGCGGGTCGTCGATTAGCACGACAAAACTTCGATGCGACCCGCGAGGTTCATTCATTTATTTGGTCTATATTGCATTTCCTCTTATTCGGAACACGGGTTGTCGTTCGTTACCACGAAACTGCTATGCGCCTCGCGAAGTTCGCGCGGGTCGTCGATTAGTACGACAAAACTTCGATGCGACCCGCGAAGTTTATTTATTTATTCTTTATTGCATTTCCTCTTATTCGGAACACGGGTTGTTGTTTGTTACGACGAAACTACTATGCGTCTCGCGAAGATCTCGCGGCTTACTTTAATGCGGCTCGCGAAGAAGGTCCGAATCGTGTTTGTTACTGTTTATTTCATTTGTTACGGATTCTAAGTATGCATACGGAGAGCGGCGACCTACGCCTTGTGAGACTAGATACGGGTAACTACATGAAATTCCTTGCATCTACTCAGGGACTGGCTAGCTAACAGATTCGGCTCTTTGTGTTAACCCGAAATTTCGTCTTACAAACACGCATTATCTGCACCCTGGGCTCAAAGGCTTTTAAGCACAAAGAACATTATCACTGCGTTGACTCGTTAACTGAGCCAGTGAGTGGATAATGAATGAAAGATCTACTCACCGGTGTGTTGACTGTTAAGTAGCGTCTAATGTCGTGCCGTACTACTTTGTACCTATTTATGGATTTTGTTGACGGCTTCGATTTTATACTTAACTGAGGTATAATTTACAGATTAAAAATATAGTTAAAAAGAAATATAGTTGTATTTGTCCATAAATAGCGAATCCGTTATAAACTTTTTAGTTAATCTGTTAAAAAACGAGTCAACATATCCGGCAATGAAGTGAGTCTGCCCACTTGCGCGACACAGTCATGTCTATAGACACTGACTGCTATAGCATATCTCGCATTGACGTGCAGTAACGAATAAGGTTGATAAACGAATAAAATTGTTAAACGAAATTCGTACTCAACAGTACATGTGCAGAACTCGCGCTAAATTCACTGAGGCGTGTTGAAGTTTTGTACGATCTACGTATAAAAAAAGCCTATAATTTTTTTTTATTAAAAGCATATAAAAAGATTTGCCATTTTAAATACAAGGAAATCGCTTTTACAGCTATTTTTCTATATAGCTTTTTTTTAAGTAAAAAGTAGTAATAAAGAAAAAATTAGAAAAACTATAATACTGTTTTTCACTCGCAGCACAGTGTGTCGTAAAAAAAATGTAGGAGCGGTGTAGAGAGTATTCGATATCGCTTTCTCTCCCACTTATGGACGGGCGCAGTGCTGCGCATTATTGCTATCGATAAGCGGTATCGATATTGTATAATTAAGTTGTTATTATTTGATTAATTAAATAAAATTCAAATAAAATATGAGTAAGAATAATATCAAATATCAAATAAAATCATTTATGCATCGAAGTAAGAAATATACATCTATCAACAGTCATTTTTAAAATTACCACCGTTTCGTAATGAGTGAAATAATTTCGAATGCTCAACGTTCTAGATTTACTATAATTTATGACCCAGTGTGCAGTGAGTGAAAAACAGTATTATAGTCGAAACCAAAATGTTTAATTACATCACAAAGGCACCACAAGAAATTAACGTTTAAAAGTCTTAGCGCTCACTACATAAAGCATAAGAGATCAAAACAATCAACTAACTAAGAGCTAAACACTAACCTTCGAGCGAAGTCGACAACACTTTTCCTTGGCGAGCGTCCGGATTGTCGCTAAGAGGAAAACCAACGCCCATCTTAAGTGCAGCCGCGGTGGGTACACACATTGACCTGTGGCCGTTCCAACATATAGTACACGAACGCATCGTCCCAAAGTACCTACTTAATACTTGGCACACTGCGAAGCAAATGTGTCGTCAGGACCAACATTGCAATCCTTCAGACACTAAAAACCTATATACACAACATCAGGATTAAAATATATCCATAGCAGAGGTGGCGAACCTTTTCGAACGTATTAATATTTTACGACGACACCAAAGTCATTCATTATAAAATCGTAAATAAACTAGGGCATATCTACCGTTTCGATAGTTACTTTGAACTATCAATAAAATTATATAAATAAGTTCTAGTAAGATAGTAAATTGAAAAGGTTTTCCATCTCTGTTGTCCGTGTTAAAGCGTGCGTCCAACTACTGCACCACATATCGTTATGCGTAGCGAATGATACTTATTTATAACCAAAGAGAACTTTTAACAATAAATAAAATAGTAAATTACTTAAAACAATGATGTGGAAACTCTGAACAATATAATTGCTTTAATATTTGCAGACGGATGCACATTTCACGAATGAAACTATATCGAAAGGGAATTGCAAGTACAAAGGAGGTTTAGCTCATTAAAAAGACTTTATAATAGCTAAGCAAACAAATGTTTAAACTTATTCTGATTAGATTCCGCGTATTAAGGTCAAATTACGCACCGTTTCTGCAGCTGTTGCGGCGTGACTTTGGGCGTGGAGCGTTGGAGCGTTGGCGGCAATAATGGCCTCTCCTCCATTATGGGAGGCATTGTGCGTTTTGGTGATACCAGGACGATCGCGTCGTAGATCTTCAGCAAGGCCGCCCGCGTGGAAGCCAACTCCGCCAGAGCGTCCGTGTTCTCCTTTGCGGCCTTGAAACGAAATGATTGTCTATCATTTTATTTTATTCATCAAAGTCAAAGTCAAAATTTCTTTATTCAATATAGGCATAATTTAGGCTCTTATTGAACGTCAAAAAAGACTACCACCGGTTCATTAAACTAGAACTGACCAGAGAAGAACTGCGCCTCTGCAGTATTGCTATCCGTTTTTTTTTACTGATACAAACATATTTAAGTATAAAATCAGCAGCAGACTTGGAAGTGAAAAGAAAAAGTCATTTCCACACATCATTGTCCTCAATGTATTCTTCGACATTATAAGGCCCATGCCATAAACTTTACAAAATGTTTTAAATCGTAAAATATTAAAAAGGAATAAGCATTAGAAGTGAGCTATTGAGATGTATTAATGACCGCCGTCCATTTTGACCATGAAATTTCAATTCTCATAAATATAAAATCATTGTGTACATACACGAAGATTTTTATTCGGATTTAATAATAGCAATATGCAATAAAAAATATATCACAACAACAGAAACAATATAAAAAATCACTAAAACTCACCTCATCGTAATCAGATCTCAGCTTATCATCTTCACTCAATAATTTCTCATTTTCCACCGTCAGACGTTCGAGAGACCTCCGTAATGACGTCACCCTAGTGTTCCTTTCTAAATAGTAACCGACAAACTCCACTGAAAACGCCGGAGGCACATGCCATCTTCGAGAAACATCTTTTAACGCAGCCATCTGCAATTAAATAATTAATTATATTTATTTATAACTGTGGTAGGGCTACGCAATAGTCTTTGCTATAGCACAAATCGGCAGCTCCATCGTTGTGGCGGTTATCACCTAACATCAGGTACCTCCCTAACCTCTTTTCAGCATAATTATGTAATAAATTGAAAATAAGTTTAGTAACAAAGAGCAAAAAGAATGACACACCGAGACCAAAAAAGCAAAATATATAAATAATTTAAAAAGGTTAGTAATTCGAAAAAATTTTTACCTGTGCATCTTGAAATTCAAGGGCATGAGTATCTATCCCCATACATTCTGCTTTCTTCTGGAACTTCCTCATGGCTGAAGCACTGCTATAGAGCATCCGCGCCATCTTTTGAGTGGGCACTGTTAAAAAGATAAAAGTTTAATTTCCAAACATTTTTAAATCCAAATGGTTTATGAAATAACATCTTACCCCAAGGTGGATTCCTGTTTTCTTTTTGCTGTGAATACTTCCTCCTATACTTAACAAGTTTCCGTTGTATCCTGAGTTTTTCTTCAGTACTCAGATTATTTTGTAATTCCAATTTCCTATAAATATAAATAGGATTTTAGTACAAATAATTTCACTTTTTATTTAAGTTTGAAATATCCAGTTTTAATACCTTTTCTCTGTCCTCAATTGTAACGCCAGCCAATTCCTTTTGCGTTTTTTAACCAGTGTTTTATCTGAATGAAGCCGGCAGTGAGCATAAAATGGATCAGCCTGCTCTACCTCCTCGGAATGCGCTTCAGCTAATAAACCCTCACGCTGACCACTATAAAAGATTTATCAAAACAGAGTAAATATATTGAAATTACTCAATATACTCCAATTGAATATCAAAATCGCGGTCTTTGCTGGATGCAGGCCGATTTCAACCAATTGAAGTGGAAATCCCTAGAGGAGATCTATGTTCAGCAGTGGACACTTACAGGATCAAATAATGATATTGACTAGGTATGTGTTTATAATTTTTCCAATATATCTATACAGCGTGTCGTTACCATCGCGACAATAAATGAACACACATATAGGGGATAACTTTTTAAAGTTGTATTAAAAATTTAAATTCTTTAAACATCAATATTTACAGAGTTATTAAATTTTCCAAAACAAAGAATTTTAGAACACCCTCACCTATAAAAGCGCAACGTACAGTTCATTTGTAAAGGTCACAAAGCATATGAATGGGTTGAATGAATTTAAAAGAGACAAAACATACTGTTAGAAGGAGAGGCTTGTAATACGACGCTGTGGCGCTAGTAGTATAGGATGTTACAAATTTTGTTTCTTTTTTACTTAATTAATTTGTTTGAAAAATATTTTTTGTTAATTATGGATTTTGTTTAACGTTAATATTTTTTTTATGATTATTGGCACGTAGCGTTAGACGTGTGTTCATTTATTGTCGCGATGGTAACGACACGCTGTATATGATAAGTCATACTTTATCTTAGTAAAATATAACAAATCAATGATTCATTGAAATAAAAAATTTACTATAGTGGGACTCCAATCCTTACCAGGTAACATGAAAGAAGGTCTTGCACATTCCTGCATCACATCCTACGCATACACCTGTTCTCGCCAAATTTGCATCTTCACACAAAGCACACGAACGGGCACCCCAACGCGAATAAGCCATCTCAAACAGTGTCACCCCAGAGAGACGTTCCACCTGAAAATATTGTTGTTTAATAATTAATTTTCAATACTCTTTAAAGTGTTGCTTTATACAAAGTATTGATACTTAACTTGCTATAGCATAATTATACAGCCCCTTACCTCTGAAAATGCGACACCAGGAACATACAGCGCGCACACAAGATGTACCCAAGCACCTACTTCAGTTTCCTTAAAAATGCCACCTACAAAATAGGAACATGAATTATAACAAAATAAAAAAGGTTTTATTTTTCAATTAAAAATTTATGATTTTTATAATTGAATTAATTATTATTAGAACAAATACATTTAGATCAAAATGTGTGTTTTTGATTGTAAAACTTCACCACTGATAATGTGATAATTCAGCACTTAAAATTAACAATTGCATTGATGCCGGCACCGGGAATCGAACTCAGGTTGCTTGAGTATATTGAATTTAAGGAGAGCGCCCGGACACTGACCTATCATGGCTTTAATAATAATAATTAAAATAAATAAAAGCGGTTGGTGACGATGACGCGAATTCCATGATTTTTTATAAATTTTAAGTTTTTTATAGTGCTAATCTCTGCACTTAAGATTGAACATTAAAACATGTAGAAAAAGTACGAAAAGATTGTCGCCGCTGTGGGAATCGAACCCACGTCTTCGGCATTCGCGGCCTGACGCTCTAGCCACTGAGCTAAACGGCTGATAGCCACAGCGACGAAAATCTTAACGCCTTCTTTCTACATTGTTATTTAGCATTTAAAGCAATGCTTGGCGCATCTATTGTTATATCCTTTCCAGCATACAAACAATTTCGAATATCGTTTTATAACGATAATTCGAACGAGATGTGTCGCCATTGCTTTTTTATAAATTTTAAGTTTTTTATAGTGCTAATCTCTGCACTTAAGATTGAACATTAAAACATGTAGAAAAAGTACGAAAAGATTGTCGCCGCTGTGGGAATCGAACCCACGTCTTCGGCATTCGCGGCCTGACGCTCTAGCCACTGAGCTAAACGGCTGATAGCCACAGCGACGAAAATCTTAACGCCTTCTTTCTACATTGTTATTTAGCATTTGAAGCAATGCTTGGCGCATCTATTGTTATATCCTTTCCAGCATACAAACAATTTCGAATATCATTTTACAACGATAATTCGAACGAGAGATGTAGCCATTGCTTTTTTATAAATTTAAAGTTTTTTATAGTGCTAATCTCTGCACTTAAGATTGAACATTAAGCTTTGAACGGCTAACAGCCGTTTAGCTCAGTGGCTAGAGCGTCAGGCCGCGAATGCCGAAGACGTGGGTTTGATTCCCACAGCGGCGACAATCTTTTCGTACTTTTTCTACATGTTTTAATGTCCATCATTTTTGTTCACCCAAAAAGTACACAAATATACATATAGCTCATGGAAAGCTTTCGGTAACGATGATGCAAGTTTCATGATTTTTGTTCACCCAAAAAGTGCTTAATGCACCTAAAGAAGTTTTCTCTTCAAAATATTCCAAAGATATATGATGTCTGTCCATTTGCAGTGGAGTAGCATGGTGGACTACACCCTAGTACCCTCTTTACTTTTGACCAGCTGTCAAGAGTGGCACATATATAGGCTGTCACTTCATTTTATAATGATTTTCTTAAATGTTGTAGTCATCATTTCAATTTTGGAAACTATAACTATTGGATGTTTGTTATTATTATATAATTATGTAAATAAGAAAACATTGAACACAAACCTTTATTAGGACACAATTCACAGTTTGGATCAGTAACACCAGCCTTACAGGCCTCACAGAACCATGGCTCAGTTGAGGCAGAGCTAACTGTACTTGATTCACTGGTAACATCAGAAACCCCATAACAACCTGTCAATAAAAATGTACTTATTGTTTTTAACAAAAAAAAATAATTTACAAGATATAAATATACAACTAACACTTTAAGATTTGTAGCATTAGTTATTACAAAATGAATTGCACACCAACCTTCATGTACAGTAACACCACAGCCATCACATTCAACAATTTCATTGAAATCATCACTCCTTGAACCCAAACAACCAGCACATATTAGCATATTAGCCAATTCACCAGGAAACTAAAATTTGAAACAAGATAAGTAATATAAAACACAACAAACATCAGATTCCATAGTCTTCAATTACAAGAACAAACCTTGAAGTCCTTCTGTTTAGCCTTTTCAAGTAGATCTTTAACGCACATTTCTTCCCCAAGTTTATTTGTAGTGTTTTTAAAATTGTTTTCAATATCCGACCCAGATTGTTCATCAGAACTGTTTGCATCTTCTGAAAAAGTTCATTACATATATAATATTAATCTTAATAATACTACATTTTAAACATTAATTGCTTGCTGCCTTATAAATATAATTGAGACAGATTTAAAGTAAAAACTGATTTTCACTAATGTTTATAAAAACGAACTTTTATCATCGTCGTCCGTATTGATAGAATAATCATCACTTTCTTCAGGATGGTCCTCAATCCTAAAATCTGAATCATCGGAGCTTTCGCCTTCACCAAGATCGAAATCTAATAACGATTGTGGTTCGACAGGTTTTACTTTCCGTTTTGCGAGGCATCTACCTTCTGTAAGAAAAATCATTTATTTATTCACAAATATTTTGACATTCGCGTAGCGTATTCTGACTAAAACTATTTTTTTTTTTAGTTAAGTACTTACGCGTACTCATTTTTGGTATATATTTATACCATATATTTACATTAAAATAGACAGAAAAGAAAATAAGGCAATAAATTATTAACAGCCGGCATTTGAAGAACAATGAAATAGTTATTTTAATAACTTAACTCTATCTATAGATAGCAAAAACCAGAATAATGTATGTTTGACTTTGCGACTTTGCGTTGCGGATCACACTACAGTCTACAGATAACCCTAATGTTTAAGTTTACTATTACGAAGAGCTTGTCTGCTTACAATTATAAAACATTATTTCATGGTTTTTCACGTAGTTAAAATAACGTCATAAAATAAACTAGTTTTTTGGTTTTATTTAGATTGTTGGGCCGCTTTTGTACCGCTTAAATGCATCGTGTTGATATTTTTATTTACGATATGCATACGATTGTTGATTCTTCGCACGTTAAGCTAAGTTAATAACGAATCTTTTTACTTAAGAAAACAATTGGCATTCCTGAATTTAATATCCTTTGTTTACGTAAATGCATTAACTCTTGTAAATTAATGGTTTCCCTAGATTATTTGTTTTCACAATTTAATTTTTGGTAGCGATCAATAATGATAGTTAGTTATGTCTCGTGATTTATTATCGAATTGTCCATCGTATTAATCGAAGAGCTCATCTTTTGTTAACAGGGCAGGGATACAGCGGAGCAGACTGCATCCTCATTTTGTTGTCACGCACCAGTTATGTTTCTTCGAGAAAGCTGTCAAAACTACTGAGCTAACAGTATACTAGACTTACAAAAAAACATTGATTACAAGAATCATATAATTCTTAACAAAAACAAATATTGTAGCATTTTAAGAAAATATCTTTTAAAAACAAAATTCGCCCTAAATAAAGTAAAAAAAGTAAAGCCTATACATGTCCCACTGCTGGGCAAAGGCCTCCTCTATACAGAGGGTATCAGGGCATAGTCCACCACGCGGCCCCACTGCGGATTGGCGGACTTCACATAATCTTCGAAATATATATATATTTTTTGTTATGATTTCGAAAATATGCAGGTTTCCTCACGATGTTTTCCTTCACCGCGGAGCACATGATAAGTCAGCACTTAAAGTTAAAAACTTCATTGGTGCCGGCACCGGGGATCGAACGCAGGTTGCTCGAGTATTTTGAATTAAAGGCGAGCGCCTGGACACTGAGCTATCACGGCTCTTTCTTTCTCTTTTCGCCCTAAATGTTAATCCAAAATTCACAAAATGGTTTCGAAATACGAAGATGTCATGTGTAAGCTTTGAATCGGGAGCCCCACATTCGCCAGTGAACTCACTGAGCCCTGTGTGTGTCTTTTCAGACAGACACATATCCCAGCTAGGCATGGCCTAGCGCGTTTGCAGACATTGTGATATGATATATTTAGTGTTAACGCACCATGCGTTTACTACGGCGTTGCGTTAACAATCGATGACTCTTCACACTTCCTTGCAGTGACGAGTTTTAGACGCGCGTTGGTTCGTCGTCGAAATCGCTTATTAAGTTAGTAGAAGAATTCATAAATACGGAAAGTTTTAAACAGCGGACTTCTGTGCGCCTTGATTCTTTTAAAGGGTCTTATTGACGTTCCTTCAAAGAAAGCAAAATAAATGTTATTTTTAGATTACGATTCAATTAAGCATTCCGCACGTACCATGATCGATTGCTTGATGAAGGAATCACTTCAATCACGATAAAACTTAAAATGCATAAAATGTGACCAAACTTTTATCGCTGCTATGATAAAACTTCTCAGAACAGAACCCCGCTCGTGCAGCTCCGGTTATACTCTATTTTTATTACACTTTTAGCTTGAATTTTCCAATATTCAATTCATAAAGATTCATTTAAAACAAATATTCATCGTTAAATGTGAATTTTTCTGAAACGCAAGTAATTGTTAAAAATTAAAAAAAATAAGCTTCATATATGTGCAAAGATTAGCGATAAAAATAAAATTTTTATTGAATAACGATCTTGACTCCACTTCATGTAATTAATTTAAGCAGATTCAAATATTTGATGGGAATTTGCACATGGAATAGCCACGCAAACCTGAAATGTAAGTATAAAACGTGCTAATACGGCGACCTTAAATAAACACAAATATAGTAGGATAACTTTTTTAAATTGTATTAAACATTTACTTTCATTAAAACATTTACCGAGTTATTTAATTAAAAAAAAATATGTTAGAACACCCCTGCGTATATATATAAAGTTCATAATTATGTAAAGGCTTAGAGCATATGAATTGAGTAATTGAATTAATTAATTTAAGAGATAAAACATACTGATGGATGGAGAGCATTGTAACGCGACGTTGTGTCTTCAGTGTTCATCTCTAAACATAATTAACGTACCCTTATCTACTAACGTTCTAACGTGTGCTCTAGGGATTGGTCCATTGATGGAGCCACGGATCTGTATTGTTTTGTATTAGGGGGAAGTCTACGAAAAATAACCTGTCTCTTGGGGGAGAATAGAGTTTTTTAGGATTCTTACTTACTCAAACCCACGTAATTTATTTTTTCCTCTAATATATAATCTGGTCTGGAGTTTAAAGTGTCACTGTCAAAGTGTCAAATTGTTTTGTTTGTGATTTGCGATGTGCTTGTCGGTAAAATACGAAGATTAATTTTTAACACTGTTTGTTAAAAAAATATCTATATTACTTTTTAGTAACTTAAACTTACGTCTTATTTTAAGTTTATAGTTATAACTAAAAACTATAAACATTAGTCAATCATCAAAGATGGTTGGCCTGGATGCTGATTTACAGAGGGATGACGAATGTGATAACATTGGTTTAGGTTGCGCTCTAGAGCATTTCTCAGAGGTTGAAGATGTGCTGCACATGATTGATAATTTGAAAAATATCTACGACACACCGACGCTGGAAGTAGATTACGAACGATTGTACACTATTCTGAAACAATACTATGAACAACCACACCTGCTTGATCCTCATCTAGATAAGCTGCTGGCTAAATTTCTCGCTTTGATCAAAGATAAGGATTCTCCAATTGGATTAAAACATGCAACATTTAATTATATGTATCAGATTATCAGAGTAAGAGGCTATAAAGTAGTTGTAAGACATTTGCCTCATGAGGTAAGCTCTTGTTTGTTATATTTGAATTTACTCAGAGTTAATTAAATTGCTTTACTTTTTTTATAATTGATAACCTGTAGCTATCTAAATATATCTTGAGGGAACTATAAGGGCATCTGAGAAGTTATACACAAGACACTGCTTAATATTAAGTTTTACTTGTGCAATTGTACTCAGGCTATGCTTCCACCTAGCGGGAGTCTATTATAGCGGTGATAAAGTCATTATCCCTTTAGTATTATATATTATACTGTCAAGAAAGAACAAAATAATATCTGTCAATTACTTAATAAATTCCAGGTATCAGATCTTCTGACTGTATTGACATTCCTTGAAGCCCAGGATCCAAATGACAAGGAAACATGGCGCAGTAGATTTGTGTTGTTGCTTTGGCTCTCTATAGTTGTTATTATTCCTTTTCATATGAGCAGGTTGGATGGATTTGCACCTGAACAGCCAGGTAAATGAGTGCTTATAATAATGCAAATTTTGGTATAAATTAGTAACAGATAAATCCATTTCCAAAAATTGTGTATTTTAGGGTCATCTAAGAAGTTAACTGTGATGGAAAGGATCTTTAATATTTGCAAATTATATGCTTGCTGTAAAGATTCATGTGCGGAGGCTAGTGCTTATTTAGCTTCGAAATTTCTGATCAGGTAATTGATTGTTTTGTGATTATAAATTTTATTTTATCAAGTGTCTGCATACTGATAATAACTGATTTAAAAGTAAAATAATTTATTGTGTAGTGACATTGCTGTATAACATACAATAACACAATGGTATTTCCTTAGCCTTGCCTGTTTTATGACTTAATTTGTGTTAATAGTAGAAGTTTGTTGATTTTTTGAATGGCTCTATGACAGGTTGAACTTACAATAACATGTACTTCTTGAATGGTAGATGTGGGTTATGGGATCACTTTCAAACCAAAAAGACATTTAAGGACTGATAATAAAACAATTTATTTTAACTTAAACATTTTGAACTCATTTTAGACGAAACATAATCATTATGAAATTTATGTAAAATACAAGAGTTATGTCAGATAGCTAGACATGATACTTCTTAAGCTAATTTTACGGAATCAATAAAATATAACACAATTCAGTCTAAAAAAATTAAACTAACATTCCAAATTTAAAGTAATTCAAACAATACATAAATCAAACAGATCAGAGTTTACATCAAAAGAGTATGTATAATCTGAGATTACCAATCAACAGTACTCAAGTTTACAAAATATATGGAGGATTAAATACAAAACTTTCTTTCTTAATAATTTACAGATCTGATGTTAAAGAAATGTATATGGGTGCTTTTTTTGACTGGGCTTGCAAGTTACATTCCAATATTAAAGAGGAGGATACTATTTACTATGGTGTATTGGCCGCTGTCGCTGCAGTGTTAAAACATGGAAAAAGAGATGATCTCCTACCATTTGCGCCTAAGTTATTGCAATGGGTGACAGAGCAAAATTACAAACTGCATAAAGCTATGCTAGTGAGAAAGTATGGAGTAAAAATTGTGCAAAGAATTGGTATGTTCCTATTTATATTTCTTCCCCTAATAACAATACCTAGAATAAAATTAAATAGATCAATGCAGTTATTGGCAAAATATATTCCAGGATTAACTTTCTTGAGACCTCGCGTTGCTTCATGGCGTTACACCCGTGGTTCAAGATCTCTTGCGGTGACACTGGGAGGGGTTGCAGCCGCTGGTGATACTGAACCTATCACTTCGCCACCCGATGAAGACGATCAGGATATACCACAAGAGGTAGATATACATAATTCATTTAAATTGAGTATGTATTATAATATTATAACTGTTCTAGATTCTACTGTCAAATGGACAAATACATATAATACATAAAAATAATCCAATGAATATGACTAGATATACAATAGAGTTTTATATTATTAAATATTTTATTCATATTAATATTACAGTTAATGTCATTTTTTTTTTACCTTCTTTGAGATTATAATAGTGCTTATGATAAAATTATGTCTATGTATGTATACAACTTATGATGACAAATTTTTTATTGTTATTGTTGGGTCATGACTAATTCATATAACTTCTCATAAAGTTATATTAAAGTAAACTGTTCTATTGAAGTTTAAATAATATCAAAAAGATAACGAGATACATGATGGGTATAAGTTAATTATATTATTATATGGGTATAAGTATAAGTTAATTAAATAAAAAATTATACATTCACAAAATGTAAGTTAATAAGGCAAAAATTTATAGTAATTGAAAGTTATAGTAAGTTGTGTATTTAGTATTATAGTATTATAGTTATTAAAACATGTAGAAAAAGTACGAAAAGATTGTCGCCGCTGTGGGAATCGAACCCACGTCTTCGGCATTCGCGGCCTGACGCTCTAGCCACTGAGCTAAACGGCTGATAGCCACAGCGACGAAAATCTTAACGCCTTCTTTCTACATTGTTATTTAGCATTTGAAGCAATGCTTGGCGCATCTATTGTTATATCCTTTCCAGCATACAAACAATTTCGAATATCGTTTTACAACGATAATTCGAACGAGAGATGTCGCCATTGCTTTTATAAATTTTAAAGTTTTTATAGTGCTAATCTCTGCACTTAAGATTGAACATTAAAACATGTAGAAAAAGTACGAAAAGATTGTCGCCGCTGTGGGAATCGAACCCACGTCTTCGGCATTCGCGGCCTGACGCTCTAGCCACTGAGCTAAACGGCTGATAGCCACAGCGACGAAAATCTTAACGCCTTCTTTCTACATTGTTATTTAGCATTTGAAGCAATGCTTGGCGCATCTATTGTTATATCCTTTCATTTAGAGCGTCAGGCCGCGAATGCCGAAGACGTGGGTTCGATTCCCACGGCGGCGACAATCTTTTCGTACTTTTTCTACATGTTTTAATGTTCAATCTTAAGTGCAGAGATTAGCACTATAAAAACTTTAAAATGTATTATAGTTATATTATTTTACTGTATTATATTATTATAACTAATTAGTTATAACCCAAAAACAAAACTACCTTTAGGTGACAATTGATTTGTGTGGGAGTTTGTGTAGTAAGTTACAACGACCACTGCAACCTAGAAGATCTACTGCAGTCTAAGTAACGATTACGTAGCTTTGTATTCAATGCTGTCTCCTCTCTTTGGAACCCGTTTAGGTGGAGGATGTGGTCGAGCTGCTGCTGTGCTCGTTGCGCGACGACGACACGGTGGTGCGTTGGTCCGCCGCGAAGGGCGTGGGCAGGATCGGGGCGCGGCTGCCCGCGCAGGCGGCCGCCGACGTCTGCGAGATCGTGCTCACGCTGTTCGCCGAGAACGAGCGCGACACCGCCTGGCACGGCGGCTGCATGGCGCTAGCGGAGCTGGGTTCGTTATTGGAACGCTCTGTAAAGACTATAAGTCGGATTGTTTTATGGGTCGTACACAACTGGCTTGTAGCTTAGATTACAGGCATTGACTTGGCGCTCGTAAAATTTTTTTTTGACGAAAGTAGTCGTTTGCTCGTGTATGTGTGTACATTATTCAACGACGCTGGAGCTGCGCTTGGCAATTAAAAAACCTCCTTCTTTTTTTAAGTCGGTTAAAAAATGTTATTAATCTTTTATAATAAGGTCGATAACAGCAGAGTTTAGTGATTAAATAGCAGAGTCACTGACATTGAGGTGTACAATTGCAACTCGCCGCGGATTTCTGTCACCGTGGACTGCTGTCACCGCAGCACCTGAAGTCGACAGAAAAGCATCGTTATTCGGAATCGATAAGTCTTTAGTTGTGATAGTAAATAAATAATTTTATTAGTATTCTTATTACTCACTGGCATTCGCCACGTGACAATGGACAAATGTCATAACCCCTATAACATTACAGTGCACATTTGAAGCTCGCCGCGGGCTGCCGTCGTCGCAGTAGCTCAGCTCCATACGCCAATAGACTATAACATATATAACACTTCATTATTCAGAACCAATAAGACTTATAATCGTGCCAATGGAATAACCCCGCTAATATTAAGGTGCACATTTGCAGCTCGGCGCGGGCTGCTGTCGCCGCAGCAGCTGAGCGCGGCCGCGCGCTGCGTGGTGGCGGCGCTGGCGCGAGACGAGCCGCGCGCGTCCGGTGGCGCGGGCGGCAGGGCGGCGCGCGACTCGGCCTGCCACGCGGCGTGGGCGTTCGCGCGGGCGTACGACGCGCACGCGCTCGCCCCGCACGCGGCCGCGCTCGCGAACGCCCTCATCGCCACCGCGTGCTTCGACAGGGAGGTGAGCGGCGTAGTTAAGGGTGTCGAAGGTGAAGAAACACATCGATGTGTCGATGTGGCGATATTATGAAGATATTATGAAGATATCAATATCAAATGAATTCTGTGATATCATATCGAATTATGTGAGACTTTCAGTCCCTGAGACTCTGAGATTTTCAATTATCGCTGTGACACTGAGCCTTGCTAATCCTGGGAGGGAGTCGCAATCTCTTCATATACCAATTCAACTGTAATTCATTAAATTTTTATTGTTTTTTTTCCCGAAAGTCATCCGGTATTTATATGGACATGGTTCAGCGTTCATTGGACTAGAGTTGGGACTGTGTAAAAATGTGTCCTAAAATATTTATTTATTATTAATATATGCTAACAATAAAACACCCGCGACAGATCAACTGCCGGCGCGCCGCCTCCGCGGCCTACCAGGAGAACGTGGGCCGCCACGGCATGTTCCCGCACGGCATCGACGTGCTCACCACGGCCGACTTCCAGTCGGTGGGGCCGCGGGCCAACGCGTACCTGGCCATTGCGCCGCAGGTCGCCGCCTACGCGGAGTACACGCGGCCGCTGGTCGACCACGTCGTCGATTTGAAAATCGAACACTGGGACTGCGCGATCCGCGAGCTCGCCGCCAAGAGCCTCAACAGGCTCACGGATAAGGTGATTGTCGCTTAAGTTTGTTGCCGCTTTTAAGTTATAACTTCTTTTTAACCGACTTCGAAAAAGGAGGTTTCTCAATTCGACGGTATATATTTTTTTGTGTGTTCGCGATTAACTTCGTCATTTATGAGCCGACTTTGATGATTATTTTTTTGTTGGTAGGGTGATATCAAGGGTGGTACCGTGATAAGGAAACCCGGATCTGATGATGGCATCCTAGAGAAATCGAGGGCAAACCTCAAATGTTATAGGTTTTAACAATGATTTAGTTTCATGTTTGAAGTCGCTTTTTTTTGTTTCAAATTATGGTGAGTTTGGTCGTCCCTTGAAAGGCTTTTTTAATATGTACCGATGCTGGGACGTATTATATAGGGTGTTACTGTACTTGCTTAAAATAAAATGGTCGTTTTTGAGAGATGATGTAGTTTGACTCGGTCAAAATAATAATAGAAAGATTTGATTAGTTCCATCGATTATCTAGAGACAGATTTTAAAATTTTTGTACAGGTCAACAAGTTGTCTGTTGTTAATTGAAGTACAAAAAAGCAGTAATTTTGTACTTCAATTAACACAGGTGCTCTTTTTGAAAACTCGGTGACGTAATGGCCGCTTTATATTAATCAAGCCTAGTAATTAAGAAGAAATAACCTTGTCAATTTGACATTTCCTTATTTGTATTTTCCTAGTTTCATAAGTTGCCCGTCTACTTTATATTTATGTTTTCACATTCACATTAACAAAATTTTACCTGATTTGCCCGCTTAAAATTTTATTGTATATAATGTTTGACGTAAGTTAAGCTTTTTATATTATTAGATACTCAACTTCAATTACCTTATTATAAAATTATAATGCAAATGCATTAGGTATGATAATGTCAAGATCGATGGCTGAAAATTCATAGTTTAGTCGATTGGAGGGCTATATGTGCATGTTTTTGATTTCCAATATTTTAGTCAATAATGAGTATTAAAACAAATTTTACTAAATTTTTAAACTAATGACGTTCTCGCTTTTCACTTGCGAATATTTTTAAACAATAAAAAAAAACAAAACGTACTATTCGGGATTTTTTCCGCGAACGCATCTGTAACTACGGGTTTATCACTTAACATCACCTAAACCGCCAGGTAGTTTGCCACCGTCTCACATAAAAAAAAAAACACTTGGTACTGGTTTAAAAGATTCTATTTCTGCATCAAGATCCCAGAATACGTGGCGACGGAGGTGCTGCCAAAGCTCGTGGCAAAAACCGAGTCGATAGACCTGAACGTACGCCACGGTGCCATACTCGGTATAGGCGAGGCCATCTTGGCCCTCTCGCAAGTTAAATTGCCCGATGGTGAGTAAAACGGATGGAATTAACAATGAGTTTTTTTATTTTACACCAGAATATCTCGCAGATGGCTGAATTTTTTCCTACTTAGTTGACACTCATCATTACCTATATTTTGGACAATTCACACAATATCTTTAAAAATTATATTAAGTATATGTGATAGTCTATGGGGAGGGCCTATTTTCATCAGTGGACTCAAACAGGCTGAAATGATGATGATGTGATATTCTGATGTATAAGCTGTAATTAATTGTATATTATTGTAAAGTTTCATTAAACTCTATTCAGTAGTTTTTGCGTGAAAGAATAACAAACATCCATCCATACATACAAACTTTTGCGATTATAATATTATAGTAAGCAAGTAAGCATTATAATATAATATTATAATAATTTGTTTGTGCGTGTTAAACAGGCAGGTCGGCGGACAGCCTGGTGTCCGAGGAAGTGTCTCGGTCCGTTCGCGAGCTGGTGGGCAAGTTGCGCGCTCGTCAGCAGTTCCGTGGGCTCGGTGGGGAGCTGATGCGCCAGGCGTGCTGCCAGTGCGTAGCCCGGCTGGCACTCGCCGCCGCGCCCTACCACGACCACGCGGACACCATTGGTGCGAAAGAACGCAGTTCGACAATTAGCATGTGCTGAAGTGCGTTGAAGGAAAACATCGCGAGGAAACTTATTTCGGAGATATTCGAAGTCTGCCAATACCTAATTTGCCCTAATACCCTCTACCTATAGGGTACTTCCGGTCTTACAGCACGAGTAAAGGGAAAAAAACCGGAAAATTAAAAAAAGTTGAAAATTTGTGTAAATTTTGGTACTTACAAGTTTTCGCGAAAATCTAAATTTGCCCATATCTTTTTTATCGTGTTGACTCAGAACCTTGATTTTTATACACCTGTTTTTTTTTTATATCGGGGGGAAATCTTCGCAAGATTGTCACCTCACATGACAGGGTTATGTGGGGTTCTTACCCACCAAAACCCTTTCAGTGGCCACCTTCTGTACATAGGGACTTCGGGATCTCCCATGGAACGCACCGGTGTCCCTCGGTACTACGCCTGAACACGCCTCGGAGAAGGTTTATCCTTCCCTCACCCTCTTGCAGAAGCACAGTCGCCTTTTACGACAGGCAGGGGATACCTCAGCCCTATTCAATGAGCCCGGGACCACTGGACGGATTTTTATACACGCAATTCGTTGCAGACGAGTGGCTGGACCTGATCGAGGAGTGCCTCGCCCACGAGGTGCAGGCGATCCGCGAGGGGGCGATAGCGGCGCTGCCGCTGGTCATCGAGCAGTACCTGAAAGAGGACTCGCGGCCCTTCGGCGAGCTGAGCGCCGCCCAGAAGCGCGCCGAGCTCGTCGCCCGCTACTGCGACCAGCTCGCCAGCGCCGGCGTCAACGGGCTGGTGCTGCGTATGGGCTACGCGAGGGCCGTGGGTGCGTTTCCTGCATGTTTGGGTGACGCATGAGCTTCTACTGAAGTGACGGGAGCTGATATTTTATTAGGAACATTTCTGATCGCCCCGTTGCCAATCGCTAGCAGCGGATTTATTTTGGGCACGGATGAGTAGGGCTAATACATTTCCCTGTTTGATCGTATTTTCGTGGTGGTCAACTGATGGTTATTGAGGACCGCCGCCCATGGATATATGCAATAGCCGCAGGACGTTGCAGATACGTTGCGCCGGCCACCCCACTCACTAGACGAAACGCGGAACTCCCACTTCCTCTTCGCGCCGGTCTTCTGCGAGGTCGAAATTGGATCTGTTTGCCCGTGATTGACATCGGCCACGTACAGGCGCCCTGCCGCGTTTCGTGCTCGCCGACCACCTGCCGCTGGTGGTGCGCTCGCTCGTGCAGTGCACCAAGGTGACGGAGCCGACCGCCAAGTGGGCGGAGGCGAGGCGCGACGCGGCGCTCGGGCTGACGGACGTGTGCCGCACGATGGGCGTAGCGGGCGGCGTAGAGGGCGAGCACGTGCGGCTAATTGTGGAAGCGCTGCTCGGCTGCCTCGGCGAGTACACGGTCGACATGAGGGGCGACATCGGCGCGTGGGTGCGCGAGGCGAGCATGGCCGGTGGGTGGTGTGCTCTTTACGCTATTTATGTCGCCGAGTTCTCAGGTCTTATGGGTCGTCCGATAATCACGTGATATATTTTTTTCAACCGTAAAATGAACTGTATCAGTGCGACTAGGCTGCTAAAATACTTGTTATCCGTGTTTTTGTATATCCATATTTAAATCAAAATGATTTTTTTTCCATACCAAAAAGTGGCAGTGGTAGTTTGCAATAAATAATTGCTTAACAAATTTAACAAACATTAAAAAATGTATGTCCGGAAAACATAAAAATTTATATAAACAACCATATAATTTGATCGAGGCGGAGATAATTTGAATGAGAAAGAATAATCCTCCGTTTAAAATATGAGTAGGTACTGCGCAGCGGCGACTGCCAAACTTCAAAAAAGTGCGCAAAAGTTTTGCGTACCCAATGACGATGTACAGTTGCAACAATTTCAAGTTAGAAATAATTTCGCTCGGTTGTTTTCAACTGTATTCAAAAAGGGGGAGGTTTTCAATTTAGGCTTTTTTAATTTTTGATAACTCAGAACTCCGTCCAAAGATACATCATGGAACTAATCTACATGATATAGAAAATGTGTATGGAACATTGGAAGTAGTTTTTATTTTTTTTTGTTAATAATCCCTTTTCTTTGTCCTGCCCTCATTCCACCTAGGTGCGGTAAGCACATGTTTATGGTATTGGCTGCCTGTTGTCAATCTCCTCGGGATCAAACACGCAGATTGGTAACAATTGTATGTGGGCCACACGTAGGCTAGTCCCGTACGTGAATCGAACACATGACCCCCCAACAAAGCCAATGGCCGATGGCCCACGCAGGTGAACCGCCTGCACACTTGTCTCTTGCATTCCACATACAAAATAATGTTCCGTTGTGAAGCCGTCGGCTAGACGTCACGCGATATTGAGCCTTATTCCTTCCTCTTTAGGTCTGCTGTCGATCTGCCGGCAGTGCGCGCGCGAGGCGCCGCAGCTGAACAACGAGCGCGTGATGAGGGCCGTGATGTGCGGCGTGGCGCAGCAGGCCGTAGAGAAGATCGACCGCACGCGCGCGCACGCTGGGCGAATATTCACCGCTTTCATATACAAGTAGGCGCGACGTCACGCAAGTGTCGCTATGACGCTAGCTAGCTACATGTTAGTTAGTGCAACCCCCTTTTTTTTCTTTTGAAGTTATGTACTTTTTTTTGGCGCGTTTGGAAAGAGTTGAGGGTAAATTTTTTGCGCTCGCATCGACTGTTAAAAAGCGACGTAATGGATCTGGTTGTAAAATTTCGTTGTTTTACCATCCCAACTAATAACTTTTTTACATTTTCCTATAATTCCAAATTATTTCATTGAATGTATATAAGTCGCCTTTAGCAAAAAAATGTGTCCACAGCGATCCGGTCATCGAGAACATTCCCCAGCACGAGGCCCTGAAGCGCATCTTCCCCTACGACGAAGTGGAGCTCAGGCAGGGCAGAGAGGCGAAAGAGGCGAAAGAGGCCGAAGAGGCGGCAGAGGCGACGGAGGCGAGCGAGAGCTCCAACGTGGTGCTGTGGCTCTTCCCCGGCCACACTATGCCGCGATTCGTCCAGCTACTGAATTACCCCGAATACAGGCGAGGCCCAGCGATCATTTATTCGGCTAACGAGATTAACACCATTACATAATTATGCAATCTTTTCTTTTATATGAATAAGTATTCAACTAATCTTTAAGTAAAGATTAGTTTAGAACCGTGGTAGGTACTCGAGCAACCTGAGTTGTCTCGTTAACTGAATTTTTACAGCTGTATTGTATGATGTGTCTATGTTCTGTAATTTTTTTTTTTAAATATTATATATTTATTATTGCAGATACAGCGTCATAAAAGGTTTGGTGGTTAGTGCTGGCGAGCTCACAGAGAGTCTTGTGAGTGCTGTTCCTTTTTTACTCAGTTTATTTTCTACTAGATACTTTCTTACTAGTCTATACAGATGTAGAAGTGTTTTAAATAACTTATTTGTTTTTAATGAAAACCTTTCTCTGCATGATTTTTAAACACATCTAGACTATAATGAACAATACTTATATAAATTATAATATTATGATTAACATGGTTCCGATAACAAATGATGAAAATGTTGTGCCGACCCAACCTAGTGTGGGCTAAGGGCAGGAGAAAGAAGAAGAACAATGAATACTAATAATTAACAGTTGCTCTCCGACATGTTTAACATTCCTACACTTGCTGTATTTGTATTGGGTGTGGTTGGGAAAAATGGTGAGAAAGATTTTTTACGCTGCGCGACAACAACTTCGCGGTGTTACCATGGCAACTAATAATTTTTTGACATCGAAATTATTTATTTCTCTTTTGTTACGCTAAAGAAGTGTAACTGTGCGTTACGTGCGTACATAAGTACGTTTGTTCCGCTTAAAACGATTCGCACATCTCTCCCTCTCAGGTGAAACACACGACGCAATCCCTATACGCCTACATGAATACTCTCCACGAGGACCTGGACACGCTGAGGTCCATTTGCGACACGATCATCGAGGTGTTTTCGGACAACCTGCACGTGAAGCGCATCACGGGACCAATGTTCAACTTCCTCGACCGGCTCCTCAGTTCGGGTGAGATGACGGATGAGGTACTAATTAAAAATGCGAAAAGGAAACAGTACAGATAAAACACGTCGGGGTTTTAGTCGGTGTGGCCAATCGGCCGTTTAGCTTGGCGGCTTCAGCGTCTGGGCGCTATTTCGGAAGACGTGGGTTTTATTCCCGCAGTGGCGAAGTTGTCTTCTATTTTTCTGCATTTTAAAGAACAACACGCGAAAAAGAAACAATGTACATAAAATACGCTACAATTTTCGTCGGTGTGGCATTCGGCCGTTTAGCTTGGCGGCTGAAGCGTCTAGGCGCTATTTCGGAAGACGTTGGTTCGATTCCCGCAGCGTCGAGAAAGTTTTCGTCCATTTTTTTTTTCTGCATTTTAAAGAACTGCTATACTTTACTAGTCTTATCTATAAGGATTTCTAAAATGTGAATATTTGTATACAAGCGAGCCAGAAAACATTCGGTTCGAATCCCGCAACGCCTATAGTTTTATATGTCCCAATGGTGTGCAAAAGACTCTTCAGTCGTCAGGGTTACGCGACGGGTATCATATATTTTTTTTAATTATTACGAAAATATAGCTTCGCTCGCGATGTTTTACTTCACCGATGAGCGCGTGATAAGTCAGCACCTAAAATTATCAATTTCATTTGTGAAGGCACCGGGCTTTCAACTCAGGCTGCTCGGGTATAATGGATTAAAAGCGAGCGGACACTGAGCTATCGCGGCTCTAGTTTTTTTTTTTTTAATCAATTTAAAAATTTTATTATGAAAAGCTGGCAAGCGTGCAGCAATGGTTCACCTGATGTTAAGTGATTTTGACCGCCCTTGGTCATCTCCTGCACGTTAGGGTTACCAGGTGCGCTGCCCTTTTAAAAATGGCCTCGGGTAAGTGGTACTTTCTTGGACATTCTTTCTTGCACATCGGTAGGCCGTATCTTAGTTTATTTATATATTAATAAAAAACAAAAAAGTTGTTTTTTTATTTGAGAAGGTGATAAACGAGCTGGCGGTTTATCTGATGTTAAGTGATAACAGCCGCTCATTGACATGTGCAACACCCATTTTAATTAACGTGGGCCCCGGCTACCTCACTGACCAAACGGAACGCGGAAGTATAACACTTCAACTTCATGTCGATCTTCTGCGAGATCGTGGTACTTACCCGGACGGACCTGCCCATTTGTGCAACAGATAAACTTTTGCTTGGCCCTAACACAGTTAAGCACCATCGAGCTACCAAGATAGAACAACCTTTAATAATACACAATTATATATCCAATATTTAAATATACGTAACCCTTTCAGGTTCCATATCGCCGATACTGGATGATCCCGAGTCAAAGTTCGCCGCGAACATTTTGAAGTATTTGCAGCTGGAACTCCGAGGGGGCAAGAACATCTACAAACTGTTGGACTCGATTAATGTTTTGTGCCAATTAATCCAGGTAACGTCTTCAAATACACCTATAAATCTATTCCATGCAAATCAACTGCACAACTTTATATGTTTAACTCGAATGAACATTCGAAAAACCTCACGGGCATCGAGATACTTCAATAATCAATTAATACATTTTTATGTGAAAAGGTGGCAAGCGAGGTGTGGTTCACCTGATGTTAAGTGATAAGCGCTGGGCATTGATATTTGCAACATCCGTAGGGGGAGGGCACTGAACAGACGTAACGCGGAATTATAACACTTCCTCTTCTTTTTTCCCTTTTTGTGGAAAACGTTGCCCTTACTGTAGGATACCATTATAATTTATAATAACATATACATACGATAAATTTCACAACTTAAAATACATAATATAAATTTCACGCGAACAACCATAAAACTATCTGTGGGTCACAAAAATAGTTGTCCCCTGTGAGAATCGAACTCACCTCAACGGTAACCAACGGCAACTGTGCCACGGAGTCACTTCACGCCGGTCTTCTGTGAGGTCGCGGTACTTCCCCGGACGGAGCTTCCCACTAGTGCAACGGCGAACTGTTGCGTTACCACAGTGACATTGTACTACCGTGTTTTTACAAGTAAATTGTTGAATTATCATTATTTTTGAATTGTCATTATTAATGACGCGTCAGGTGGGCGGGGAGGTGTGCGCGAAGGCGCTCGGCCAGCTGGTGATCTACCTGTGCTACGCGGACCGCTACGTGAGGCGCTGCGCCGCTGCGAGGCTCTACGAGGCGCTCACGCTCTACGGCGACTCGTGCGCCGCGCCGCAGGACGACATCGACAAGGTGCGCTCACTACGACCACAGGCGATTTTGAACCTTATTGTAACGTATTATAATTGATTCATACAAACGTGTCGTGTCGGTGAAGCTACGCGTACAACGGCTACGTGCGATTTTGATCCTTATAGTAACGTAATATAATTGATTCGTACAAACGTGTCGTGTCGGGAACGGGTATTTTCCTTAACACAAATCTAAAATTTTAACTTCAATAGTCACAATACGATATCATGGTTCACGTGTATGGACACATATTCGTTTGTAAATAATATAATATGATGTATAAGTTTTTATTTTAATTCCACACCATAAGTCGTGCACATAGGCTAGTTGGGTTCTGTAATTGAAATTCGCTAGTTTCGATTCGAGTAATATTCAAGTAGTAGTTAGACGATAACTGTATTGGCGTCCTCACTAATAATAAAAAACCGATGTGAGTGTATAGTGCAAAGCGACCGTTAAATAAAAATTAAGAATCTATACCATCTCAACACAAAGTTACAGTACTAAATGGAACTCCTTTTACGTTCGAAGTCCAGTCTAAAATACACATCAATAAGAGTCGATCCAAGTCGTTTGTGAAGCGGAAAGCCGCTTGACAAACGACTTGGATCTAGTTAAACGTTATCGGACATCTCTGCGTCGGCACATAAAATAATTGCAATAAATTATTTAATGCTGAACTTTATAAGTCTGCTTCCAATAACAAACTATTAATGTGTAATAGAATCTGCATTACACATTATTGTGTATGTATATATACAGCGTGTCGTTACAACCGCGACAATAAATTAACACACGTCTAACGTTACCTTGCCAAAAATCATAAAAAAATATGAAACGTTAAAAATCCATAATTAAAAAAATATATTTTTCAAACAAAATAATTAAATAAAAAAGAAACAAAATTTGTAACATCCTATACAACTACAACTGACTGATTCATACATTCAGAAACGTTTTCATTCGTTGCCGCAGCGTTGCACTACACATCTCCTTCACTACATTCTCCTTCTAAAAGTATGTTTTATCTCTTTCAAATTCATTCGACTCAATCATATGCCTTGTAACCTTTACAAATGAACTTTACGTTACCGTTTTATAAGTAAGGGTCTTCTAAAAACGTTAGTTTTGGAAAATTTAAGAACTCGGTAAATATTGATGTTTAAAGAACGTAAATGTTTAATACAAGTTTAAAAAGTTATCCTCTATATGTGTGTTCATTTATTGTCGTGGTTGTAATTCAAATGAATTAAAATTTTCAAAATTGAAATTTAATATTATTCCTGAAAGATACTGAATTATGGCATAAACAAGTTCTAACAATGTAAATAACTATATCCTCAGGTAATGACGATACTAGCCGAAACGGATTGGGAGAAAGACGTCGAGGAACTGAGGCCCATAAGGAACGAGCTCTGCGATCTCATGGCAATAAAACGGCCCGTTCTCAAGCAGAAGGCTCCATAGAGGAGCGAGCCACTTTTGCCATTGACTGAGTTCGCTTTATAACGCACATCGTATTTGTGCAGCTTGCTTTAAAAATACTCCGCTGCAATTCGAGGATTCCTTGCATATAGCATGGCGCCTTGATCATATACAGCGTGTCGTTACCATCGCGACAATAAATGAACACACATATAGGGGATAACTTTTTAAAGTTGTATTATAAACATTTTAATTCTTTAATCATCAATATTTACAGAGTTATCAAATTTTCCAAAACAAAGAATTTTAGAACACCCCTTACCTATAAAAGCGTAACGTAAAGTTCATTTGTAAAGGTCACAAAGCATATGAATGGGTTGAATGAATTTAAAAGAGACAAAACATACTGTTAGAAGGAGAGGCTTGTAATACGACGCTGTGGCACGAGTTGTATAGGATGTTACAAATTTTGTTTCTTTTTCACTTAATTAGTTTGTTTGAAAAATATTTTTTTTTTATTATGGATTTTGTTTAACGTTAAAAAATTTTTATGATTATTGGCAAGTAGCGTTAGACGTGTGTTCATTTATTGTCGCGATGGTAACGACACGCTGTATTTATATGTGACTAAACGCGTACTGATATAAATCTCGCTTTAATAATGGAATAATGAATATTAATTTATTGGAAATTTTTGTTTCGCTGTACGCGACTTACATTTATGTTTTCATATTTCGCACGACTCACACAATAAATACATATTTAACTTTTTATATAGTTTGTTTTATTTTTCACCTTAATTAATTATGTTACAGTTATTAAAATCTAAATTCTTACGATGCTGTGGAATGGAAATCTTAATTGATTTTATTATTTATTACATTTTTCCGAAAGAACTAGTAGCTTGCCATAGTAATGATAATTTTGGAGTGTTGAAAACATGTTTATCCATTTCAGTTCGTCATATTGGTGCCGCTTATATTAAGTATATTGCTATGGCTTCTTTCCATTAGGCTTTATAATTTATGAACAATTGCCAGAACAAAGGTGCATACAATAATAATTCTTTGCGCTTATTTACTAGTCCATTTCATCCCTTTAACGGTTTTTATTGAAATAAATCAATTATGTATTAAATTCCTTCAACTAATTTTCGGAACGGGCAAAATTTTCATGAGACTCAACATTTCTTCTTATAGACGTAGCACGCGATGCGTTGGTATAAAATTTTATTTAAAAACGTTCGTAAAAGAATGCAATTAACAAAAATCTTTTCAAAGTAATGTTCAACGTAAACGTTGTTATTGTCTAGCTGTTATATTTTACGAAGTCAATATCGATTTACTTTTTAATATGAACAATATTACTCGTAATTAACAATTATATCTTAACAAATGTCTACGATTAAGGTTTTCAACCGAGAATTTGGAGTTGCGCCGGGTCTTGGGGAGCTTGTGCAATTATGTTTGCCCAAAACGTTCCATAATTCTTCAAAACCGTGCCCCTGAAAGATACAAATATTATTATTATTTTATTACAATTCTGTAAGAAATATTTATGTACATTATTAAGATGTACAATAACACATATTTCCAACAAATTTCAAAAACAGGAGGAGGTTATCAAATCGTTGTTTTTCAATTGTTTTATAAGAGCGATTTTATGGGTCAATAAAAACAATAACCAATTTACGAATTTTATCCGTACAGTAGCTGTGTTGTAATAAGTTCGAGTTTATTATTGGTTTGCACTTAGTTACTAAACTATTACATTTTGAACAAGTTTGTAGTTAAATATGACAGTAAAACATCTAATGTAAAGGGCCGTAACGAAAATTTATAAAACAAAAAGTAGCGTAAAATGAAAAAAAAATAGCTGTTACGGCGCTATGCTGCCCCAATTTTAATTTAACGTCCTAAATGGTGAAATTGTTTCATTGATTGCCTCTCCAACTAGCGTTGCTGGGTGGTGGGTTTGATCTCCGCACATAACATAAAATGTCTAGTCCACAAATAGTTGTTCCGAGCCTGGAAGTAATGGATCTTATTTATGCGACCACGTTTGCCTGCGATAAGAGTGCATGGGAGATAAATAGATATAGCAACGACGGTGGAACGCTATTGTTTCTGCCTATCTGTGAACTGTGTGAACCAGGCGTTAGCTGACAATAAATATAACTGGCAAAGCAATAAGAATAAATAGTAATTAATTTTATTTTAATTGTTCGTTTCAGCCCTCAGGATGAAATTTAAAATGTGAGTATTTTGTATTTTTTTTGATAAATTGTCAAAATTAAAAGTCAATTATCAAAATTTTCTTTGTTGCGGGATTCGAACCTGCGTCTTTCGAGTAACGTGCCATGTTTTTGCATTATTGTCGATACTTGGTTTATACTGAACCACCATGACCATGAACCACTCAGTTAAACTTAGATTTTACTACCCTAGTATTGGAAAATATTGAAAAATTTACATTTATTGACGAATGTATATAAGGTGTAGACGAATGTGTATAATAATTTATGTAAAGTTACAATGTCAGATTTGACAGATGGGCAAATTAATTACTGATAGTGTTGTCTTAAATGATTAAAAATACAATACATATTTGATAAAAACAAACATTTATCAACTCTTTTGGTATAACCTAAAATGTTCATGACTCAAATGATAAAAATCTGAATTATTATTCCTTGTTTAAAAATTTCTTACATTTAGGAAGTCATGTTGGTGAATCCTAATCCTTCTTAAACCATACATTGATAAAAAAATTCAAACCATAAATTCATCAACATACGGGCTTTTACATTAACATATATAACAAATTATTATACTATCCCTTTACATTTTAACCTCGTGTTTCAAAACGAATGTTACAAAACTGATTTAATAGATTCCGGTGTCCCTCAGAGAGTTAATATTTCAAAATTTATATTTCGTCACATGTAGAAATTGCGAAACACAAATTTACGGTTTAAATTTTTAGATTACGGTCTGTGTTAAGCTATTCCTTTATAACGTCTATTAAAGGACAGTTAAATTGACAAAGTTCACGAGTTTATAACAACTACCAATACCCTAACTAAACTAACTAGCAATACCCGGTGTCGTATTTTTGATAGGCGTCACAGAATATATATATAAACGTATTTAATTATTCAATGAAATAGGGTTAAGTTAACGTACTGAAGACACAAATATACGGGAGCAAATATTAGGCATAATATCAAATACTACAAACAAATTATAGAAGTACAACGCATCAATCGCAAAGGACGGATATCCCTTAATTATGTATTAGTGTTTTAATCATTGTGCCTTAGATAATATTGTGTCAAATATACTTTACTATCTAGAGGTCGGGCGGTGTTAAGTACGTAGTAGCACTCATTATATGCCACATGTTTCTCAACATACATCAAATGAAGTGAAAGGAGAGTAGAGGAAGGGTATCGGTCAACGACCTTATTAGGTTTGTACTAAAAATCGCTTAAGGCTAAGTGAACTTCGTATCGCTAATAATTTGAAATCGCAGTTTGTAAATAAACGAATTGCACTGTTCGATATATGTAATTCTATTATGAACATTTATTTCTATCTACTATTATTATGTAAAAACTATTATTATGTAAAAACAAGGGAATGTTTAATACGAATAATTTGTTTCGGTGACTTCTTCTTACAATTAGTTTGTTACTTTGTTCTTTTACTTAACATTGAAGCAGGACACCAGGTTTGATAGGAATGGCGTCAATACCTTGACTGAGTTTTTGTTTACCGCCGAGTGGTACAGACTAGTTATCGTATGAAAAAATATGCACAGTTCCTAAGAAATAGATCTGAAGCATAAACCCGTAGTACCCATGCAAACAAAACCAAATAAAAAAAGCATCAAATAAGGTTTTAACAGATTTCTAATGGCGATACTAAAATGCTTTTACTCACGTGAAGTAAACTCTGCCGTGCGAATCTGATGGTGCTTTCCATGCGATTATTGCCCTTTTCTTGTCTCGTGGGTCTGCGTGCGTGACGGCCGCGCATTCCGGGTGGATCGTTGTGTTCGGCGCCTCCTCCCAGGAGCCCAGCCACTCATCCGTTTCCACGGAACGGGCCTGTATGAAGAAGCCCTTGAACGGCTCCAAACCCTCAATGGTTACTGCAACGAAATATCAATTGCGATATTAGCGGGCTCACGCAATATTCTTCGTTTTTGCCCGAATGGCGAAAGGCGAGCCCGGGGAAGTACCACATACAGAAGACCGGGGAGAAATGGTAGCGTTATACTTCTGCGTTACGTCTTGTCAGTGATGTAACCTCCACTTTATTAAAAGCTGGCAACGCATCTGCCACCATACGAGTGTAGCAAAACTCCATGGGCGGCGATTATCACTTAAAATTTGGTGAAACGCTCTCTGGCTTCACATATTCTTTCTTAAAAAATGTTAAGTAATGTAATAAATATAAAAATAGTAATGTAATAAAAAATATGCGGCGTTGTACCATTTAAATCCCGTCGATTAGTTGAAATTTGTGTTTTAACAGTTTAAGCAATGCTTGGCGCATCCATTGTTAAATCTTTCCAGCATACGAACAATTTCGAATATCGTTTTACATCGATCATTCGAACGAGAGATGCGGCCATTTCTTTTTAGAAATTTAAATTTTTAAACGGTTTTATTTAGCTCGACCCGTACGGAATTTGTTTGTTTGGGTCAAAATTAGAAATTGAAATTTAAGCACCTTGCCGTTGTCAGATTGATCTGAAATTTGGTACACACATTTAATTTAGATAAAAAAACATAAAATAAAACCGTTTAACTTAAAAGTTTGAGACAACTTGAGAAACTTTAAATTTTGTAGAAACTTAAATGTTTAATCTGAAGAAATTTAAATATCTTTAAAACTACCTAACGGATCTTGATGCGGTTTTTTATTACATAGAGTGATTCAAGAGGATATGTATAATAAATTACACCCGTGCGTGGCCGGGGCGGGTCGCTAGTTTATTATTTAAGTACATAAAATTATTTTGGCGCGGAACATTTCAGCAATGAAAAAATAATGCAAAAGAAATCCCATACACTGGAAAACAAAAATTTTAATATTTTATATTTTGTAAAACCACTTATTTATGAATTGATAATTTGTCTCTTTTGTTTTGCAAGCCTTCATCAATTTATCCCAGTGTTTTATTTTCGACTGCGCATTCGGAAAACCGCACCATGTTACTTAATATGTTATTAAACTCTAGAGGATTCAATCGGCAACGTAAGCGAACAACAAGTCGCCTGACCCACAATACCATCTGAGGCACTTGCCCAATCGAACTTGGTCCGGTTTTGCAGGCATACGTTGCGTGCCTACTCACTACGGCATAAAAGATTTTATCAATGAATTTGTAAATTTTGCAATGAATTCGTAAGCATTGTATTGAACTATAATCTTTACGGCAAGTGCTCACATGGCAGCGAGTACGCAATAAACTTGTATTTTGTTACATTTAAAGATTGCATGGACATGTAAAGGCCAGAGGGTTCTCATGATGCTAATTGGTTACCACTGCCCATGGACTTTTACAATACCTGAGAAGCTGCTTATACGTTATTAACTTTAAAATAAGTGGACCCAGGCTACCGCACCCACAATACAAGAAGACTTCCACTTTATTTCTCTTCGAGGACTACGGAACTTCTCCGTACGAGCCTGCTCATGCGTGCAACAGCACAAGCTGAGCTACTGCATGGCCCTGCCCCAGTTATTGTATTATATTATTGCACTACTTATTGTGTTTTTGTTACCCTCTAATGTTTTACTTTTATAAAAAAAAAAACACGAACGTTGAACGTCGAAAATATATTACTTAATTTCCTTTAAAAGGTTGCTGCTTAAGAAGATAAATAAATTGGTAAGTTAGTAAAGATTCAATTTTATATTACTACAAAAATTGGTGACAAAAAAGTCGCAGTTTTTAATAGAATTTAATTCGAAAACGCAAAATCTTATATTATGGTCTTAAACAGCACTTCTGAAACTGTAACCTAAATTTATCTTAAAGATGATTCGAATGTAAACCTTTCATAATTTGATTGCAAAATTTCGATGTGCTTAGCGATTTCGTCATTTTGGAACTGCAGTTATTATATTCGCAATACTATGAAAACATTAAGTGGCATCAGATTCGGATCATATAGACATCAAGAGCATTTTGCGGTTTTCTCGACTAAATATTCCGCCGATGGTTGGTTTCACTTACCCTGTATAAAAACAGTTAAGTACAATAAGGCTGCATTATTTCGTAACTATGCTCATAAATATTTAAATATATTAGAAACCTTAAAAATATCAAACTTAATAGCAGGTAATTTATTTTAGGTAATACATTTTGACAGTAAGTTTTTGTAGGCAGATTTTAAAACAGTTTATAGTCTGTCGTCATCATTAATTTAAGAATACTTTAAATCAATTAAATTTAAATTAGTGTGCAGGGCCACGCAACTGTCTTTGGGGCACTAATGGGCACTAATGGGCAGGTTCGTCCGGGTAAGTACCAAAATCTCACAGAAGACCAGTGAAGTCGACTTCTGCGTTTCGTCTGGTGAGTGAGGTAGCCGGGGCCCATTTTATTATAATAAAAAGGTGGCAACGCCTTTGCAAATGTCAATGAGCGGCGGTTATCACTTAACATCGGGTAGACCGCCAGCTTTTTCATTATGCGGAATAGTCTATTATAGACCGTATGTCCCTACGAACGATACTTCGTATATAATGATCAATGTTGTTGGATAAGTGCAATAAATTATTTTTCGATTTTAATTTTTTTAGGATCCTCCGAATTTTTAGAATCATTACGTTAATTTATCCATGTATTACATAAGGAACTCATCCTGGGAAATTTCACACTTGTAGACCTACCGATTGCAGCTGTGCGTTGGCTGTCAGGTTATACGGAATACTAGTTATACTAGAGCTGTAGAAGGTTATTGTTTCCAATAGTAGCACGCTCGTTTTTCTTATACTAATATTTGTTTCGGACCTTTATGAACAAATTTTGGCCTCAAGTGTATCCCTTTGGGGATGCTTTTAGTACCTAAATACGGTAAAATTATTTCTTTTCAATGTCGCTGTTGCATTGTTCGTTTCATAGTCTCAAGAATCTTTCCCATTAATATATATTTAATAGTTTAAGAATCACAGAGAAAATTGCAAATTGTATTGGAAAAACTAAACAAAATTTTTGAAGAACTTGTTGATTTTGAAAAAAATATTCATGATCCCAAGTTATTTTTTATTCCAAGTTTATATAAACAGAAAAGAGCATAAAAATGTGGCTACAGTTACCTATTGCGTAACGAAGCACATCTTTTCAACAATCCTCTAAAAGAGATAAATATAACTTAGGTTTATAATATTTTTAGTTAAAATCTACACAATTGTCTTTCATTTTTCGTAAATATTCCAAATAATTTAATGTTTTATTTTAAGGGTTACAATTTCTACCCGTATCAATTATTTACGATTTATTATTACCGAATTACCCTTAGACATCACGGTAAGTAATGATAATACAAATATCACACACGACTGGAATAAAATGTAAAATTAAATATTCAAACACCATCCAAACATTACTGTTAAATAGTACAATTCTCAATTCAAACCTGTTATACGCGAGTTTGGTGAGTAGTGAGCTGATGAGGCTACTACCCTGTAGGGTAGCGTCGACAAGGGTTGCGTTCGATGCTGGCCATGATTGGGCTGGTTGGCGCGGTCCTTCACACACGCGTCAATGGGAGCGCCGTCGGGGAAACATGTCGCGCCCAAAAACAACGACACCAGAACCAAAGCGATCATTTCGCGATCGAGCCTCTTAACTGTATTAACTGGTGCGTCAGTTAAAAATCCGAATTGCGACTGCGCAGGCGCACGCCGTTACGCTCACTTTTGTAAGCCGCATTCGAAAGGATCTAGAATTTAGACGACTTGTCGAACAAATCGGTTCTACGATCATTTTGCTACTAACTACTGCAATTTGTTTATTTAGCGATTGCACTGTCATGTTTGAGCAACAGTACATTTCTCATTTTAACTGTATAGTCTTAAGTTGTCAAGTTTATGACATATAAATAATAATAATTGGAGACTTGATCTTGATTATTGTAATTCATTAAGTATTATTATGGACTAAGTATTTTTTGTGTATATATTTATTTTGTGATAATAAACCTAACGGGTCCAATAAAATTTTAATAAAATGTTAATAATACTTAAAAAAAAAAACAAATACTGAAACATATTTTATTTTCATTCCTCAACAAAAACTATTTTATCTTCACTGTTTCTGTTAGGGCATAGAATATCCGGGTTCAATACTACATCGCGTTTGTCATTCGCGTCAATGTAATGCATTATTTCGTCGAGCATGTTTTCGCAGTCTTCATATTCAGATTCTATTCCACTGCCGCCATCTTTGGATGTTTCATTATTGTCAGACGTTTTATCTTCTCCATTTTCCTTATTCAATGTTGATTTCAAAGCACTTTCATCGGTCTGATTTTCATCCCGATCTTTCGAAGAATTACGTAAAGAATTATCTTTACCTTCGTCATTTACAGAACTTGTGATGCTATATATTTCTGGCGTTAACCACTCTGGATAGTCCATGGACATGCTGGAAGCTTTAGGGAATTCGTATTCCTCACCAGCGTTGGAATCCCTGTTCGGAATTATTCCCGAATCATTGTCTAATGACGCTCTGCTGAGAAAATCGTAACCTTCGTTCGTTAGGCCGTTCTCGACGGTTTCATATATAGGGTCCAATATCTCGGCTAATCTCTCGCTGGCTTGTATTGATATTATTTCGGCGACATGCAGTTTCGGTTTCATCGTTGTGTAGTGATCTTTGTAATCGCTAACATTATGCGACGGCAGGTTGGTGCTGTAGGTGAACCTTCTCGCTGATTTTGGGTCGAAACTCACGCGGGGATAACTGGAACCTCGAACACGTGAGCTCACTGCATTTTCGGTTTTCCTATATGTCGCCTTAACTAGAGCATGCACCTGTAGGTAAGTCAGTGTAAAATTTAGTGTTTAAGTACATGAATCTTAAGTATTATTCTACACAATTATTAGATTAGTATTATCTAATATGTATTCCAATTTTAAAATTATATGTACCGTACACTTTTAATATAAAGCTTATAATATAGGCACAAACAGACACAGAAAATGATAATTTCCAAGTGTTGTTCTTATGAATATTTCAAAATCAATTATTTATAAAACTGAATAATATACTAATAATAATCACTAAAATAACCTCTTTATTTATATAGCAGTATAGCAAGGCGACGGTAAATCCTTGCAAAGCTTCCAATGAATAAGAAATATAATAATATATCTGTTCCCATAGGCAATTGGTTGTGTTCGGTCGTAGAGCTGTAAAAAGAAACTGTATTCCAAATAGTGGCATCAAAAATAGCGTCGCCTTTGCGGTACTTCTGAAAGAAAAGGATATCAATTTGGAGTTATCATCATACCATTAAAAATCACCATAAAAAAAAATTATTAACGTTTTTTTCGTATTTTTCGTTAATAGCGACAAACTCAAGCTTAAGAATGGTGTTTGAATCATTACATTTGTTCAAAATTATGGAAGCAATGTTGTAATGACTAACGTAAAAAAACACCTTGGAGAATAATATACAAAGATTCTCACTTACAGCTGATTAGCATTCTCGGAATTTCTTAACTTGGTGAGTAACACCCTCAGTATATCGATGAATAGCACAGAGTTTATGAGCAATATGGCAATTCTTGGAGCATCCAAAATCCACTGGATGTGATCCACCGTGTATACGATCCAGCATGAGTGATCATTAAGCAATCCCATCACTATCGCCCACACGAGCGCTGGAACTATTGCGATAACTAAAATAAACAACAAAAAATATTCAAAATTGCACTTTAGATATGATATCATCATGTTCACTCTCTACCCAGACGATCATCTTTTGTACATTTATTCTGTTTTATTAACAGACGTACTACATTTCTTGCATTATTTCCGCTTTAATTGTACATTACATTAACGGTGGTCACTACATCAATTTATAGATATTTTAGCAAAACCAATGTCAGTTAAAGAACTAACATTAAAAGAGTCTTAGTGTTAAATCGGATACAATCGTTTGTTATTTGCTCATGATCAATGTTATCTGATAATATTTTAGGCATCTAATCATATCTATGATGATATAAACTATGAAAATATTTCTTGGAAGCGACGAAATTAAAAAATTACGTTTGGTAAGGCGTTGCCAAAATGAGTACCTATGCTTCTCGATAAAATTGCGAATAACGTAAGCACTAACACAAAATTGGTGAAATGTTACGAGAACAAGTATCGTTAAGCGTATCGTCCGCTATGTAAAAAAAACACCTACGTTTTTTTTATAAATAACTCACCACCGTCGTCCTGCATCCACTAAATAAATTCTATGGTCATAATTTGCAATAGGCCAGTTAAAGTTAGTATGAAAAGAAAAAAAATTATATTTTCGCATTATATTTATTTAAATGGCTTTAGAGATTTCATTAGGCGTTCCATTATCATTGACAGAAATTAGGGCTTAATTATAGGCAAATGACAAATGCATACCAGATAGCTTAATCTTTGGCTATGATTTTCCATCGTTGCCATCACTCAGAGTATTTGACTTTTTATTCATTCATTTAGAAATTACAACAACAGTAGTAAAAACCAAACATTGCAGTTATTAGATTGAAATTAAAATCAAAAATTTAAATTTAAACATTAATGAAAATCTTCTGTTATGTGTACCAATAACAGGTATGGTACTTACTACTGAGTATGACGCCTCTAATTGGCAAATTTAAGGGTTGTATTGTGCTTAAGTACGGAGTAACCTCATCGACCGTTACCAATTCAAACAAATATACGACGTACACCTGTAGGTATGTGATGGAAAACACTGACCTGCCCCCGCTATGTAGAGCCATCTCACTTTAAGCTTCCTCCGGAACACGGCAACGATCAACCTGTGGAGATATACGCCTTCCACAAGCATGCATACGAATACAGCGTTGGCAGCGAAGCGTTCGGCAACGGCCAGCACGCGACACCAGATCCCGTGCGTTGATAACACTGTGCCTCCAGAATTCGTCAGCTCATCGATGTACACCTAGCAAAAATAGTCTAACTAAGTGAAGATCCAGTGATGCATTTGACAAGCCAACGAATCTGCAACAGGTCTTGCTCCCGAAACACGGCAGCAGTGTTGACACGTACAAACATATCGATATTTATTGTATTAAGGCGAATACTGCACATGGTTATATACTTAACTGTTTTACGGATTTTCAACAGAATATCCCGTAACTATGAATTGTTCAAAAAGTTGGAAGTTTAAAATATAATTAATTAAAAAAATATTAAACGCGATAAATTCCATGAAATAGTTTTATTTCACCGATAGCTCTTTCCTGCACAAAAATAATATGTTCTAAAATAATGATGACTGCTGTGTGAAAGATTTCCAAAGAACACTTACAACCTGCCAGATTTATTAAGGCGTATGGTGGCCACACAATGGGAATATATTTGGCCTTTTGGGAAGATAAAAATTGTATATTAGTTAAGTAGTTCTATGTACAAATAAACCCTCTCTGAAAGATTTATAGCTGAAATAGCTACAAATGTTTTATTAAAAACCATTTCACAAACAGCCACAGGTATGTCATTATTGCATCACAATGATTCTTATTCAGAAACAATGCCAATGATGTTCTATTAAAAGAAAAATTGCCCCATTTAGTCAATGTATACAAACGCAAAAGGATTTCGAACAGATATAACTAGTTGAATATCAAAATATATGAAGAACCTCAAGGTGTAAGGAACATGCTTTATGTATGTTTTATATTTCGTAAACTACAACCAACAAACATATTGTAACACAAACAACTTACTTCGGTCCTGCTGACAATTACGAGGACGTTCCTGATGACGATTGCGATGAGGAGGTTTCTGTGCAGGGCCACTCTGGTTACCCGCAGCCGCTTGTAGAAGAAGAAGATGAAAACGGCGGGAAGACACGAGGCGATGGAGAACGCCAACACGGCGATGTTCATCCGATAGCGGCGCAGGAGCCGTGGCGTGATGCTGCACGTGCTGTAGTCAGTCTGCAGCTGCCATGTGCCGTTCGAGAAACACTTCTTATTGCTGAAATCTGAACAAGTGTCGGATTAATTTTAAATGTTACAGATTCACTGCGTCGAACATCTCTACAAATAACTCTTCAGAATCTTCATTCAATATGCACGTAAGGACGTCTTATCTAAGTTTGCTCGTTCAATTGGAAAAAACAATTTTGGATTTTTTTCTTTATAGACTGATGATTTACTTTCAATTTCTAGACTATAAAAGCCTAACTGACCTCCTGCCTCCAGGAACAGCTAGTTTTAATGCTCTCGATATGAACCTCTACATTGGGTAGAGCTGATGATGTACTCATGCGTACGTTATATACTGAGATAGAATTTCACATAGGAATGTGGCCGTTGACAGTGTTAATAGTTGGCTGAGGATGGTGAGAATCATCTTTCTTTTGTTTACGTGAGGGCTACGAAACGCTTTTGCACACTTCCACGGGCTCCCTAGTGGTAGCGCCTGGGAGTTGCTTCCCTCTTCGGACAACAGTTCTACTCTCCTGCAGATAAGACACGTTGGAACATTCTCCTCCTCTCTCCCCGCGGCCCCATCATTACTGCATTAGCGATCCAGCGCCAGCGAGTCGCCAAGGATAGGGAGGTCAAATGCTATACCAACAATCCTCTACCCCCGCGACTCCATTTGGGCAGTAGGAAGCAGGAAGAGTGGCTTCTCCTCTGCCATCCTCATTGTTTTCCCCGCCCTTAGGACACATTAGACTAAAAGAACTAAGAAAGACACACAAGAACACACAAAGAACTGTACTCACGATGGCATGACGGTCCCACGTTAGAATAAGCCAAGTCAGAACAAATAGCAGTAGCCGTAGTATCAGCTTCTGCAGGTTCCCAACAGGTCCACCCATCAAATGTCGCTTGGCATTGGCTTTCATCTTAAACACAGAAGGGGTCAAATTTACGACTCGAGAAAGTAGAAAGTAAGCAGGAAGCACACTTGATGTTAATTTTAATCACCGCGCATCGACACACAACCTATAGGGTTGTAGACGCGGTGCCAAGGTTTAAGTGTTAAGTGTTAAGGGAGCCGGATACGCAGTTCCTGGATGAAAGTCAAAAGTCCTACGTCCAACTCTAACTGTAATGGATAAATCAGTTGTAAAATCCAAATACAGTCTCCAAAACCACAACAATAATATGAATTTTCATAGTATTATTGTTTCATAAATGTTACTTATTGTTTCATAAATGCGATTATGTAGATATAGCAATCATCGACGATAATGCTATATCAGAAATAACTTAGATAACATGGGTAAAGCCATTGCTGAAAATAAATCATAATGAGGATGTATGGGAAAATAAGCGTTTAACAATTAAAAAAAAACTATCTTTCGGGCTTAATAAAACTTGTAGCTTATCGGTCCTGCTAAGGTTGTATGAAAGGGATTGATAATGCTACAATGACAATAACAATGAAGCATAAAAATTAATATATTTTATTATCTGTATTAATTGTAATGATAACAATACAATGATGCCAAGTTCATAAAACGTTTGTTAATCCAAGGAAATGATCCGTTGTTCCAATAATTTATTGAGTAAACGGCGGATATTATATATTCTAACAAAAATTTTTTCAATGGATTTAAAAAAAATATTATAGAGTGTAAAAGAAAAGTTTAAAACGAAATTTGTATGTATTAGAACAATAGCTTTAACTTTTCATTTTAATCAGATATTAAATTCTGGGGGCAAAATTGGGCATAGGCTAGTTAGAGTTACCACCAGCCATGCTGTGTCACATGTACAACTCGTTAATTAAGCTCTACCTGTGAGCAATATTTATTTGCTTCCTTGTTAAAAATCATACTTGGTTGCATGTATAATGCCCGAGGTTAATTTGTTAATGTGCAGCTACCTGTAATAGTAGTGTTATCCAACATAACGTGACTGCAGCAATCGCTGGCCGTGTAGTAACATCTCTCCCATCGGCCGTGCGCAGAAGGTATCAGGGCGTCGCGCACAAGATTTGCGACGTTTTCGAAGGCAGGGTCGAAAGGGAAACAGCCGCAAGTGCCATCTTCCTTCACCTGCAAACAAAAGTACTTGATACTGTTACCATTTAATATTGAATTCTTTATTTCTGTATTATCTACGCGAATTGTACACGCTGTTAAATATATCTACCGATTTTATGAACTTTATCGCTTATAATTTTAGTTTTAATTATCAGCATTTGTAGCATTATAAAAAGTTGAAAATATTTTTATAACAAGATTGTCATATGAAATTAAAATTTTATAATGCCTAGCTCCTAACATGAAACATTAAAATTTGTAGAAAAAATGGACCCACGTCTTTAGGATTCGCGCCTAGACGCCTCTACGACAAAGCTAAACGGTTCATTGTCACATTAACGAAAATCTCAACGTATTTTATGAACATTGTTTTTTCGCATTTTCAATAGTTGATGCATCCATTGCTGTCTTTTAAAACGCACAAACAGATGTTATTCTTTGTTTAATCCGACACCTAAAACTGGCCAAATGGGCAAAATTCATCATGGGGCTATAGAAGCGAAAAATTTTATGATTAGTGTCGGATTCTTTAAAATCTCTATTTCTTCCCGCTATGACGACATAAAGTTAAAGACAGCAGAAGTAATAAATTAATTGAAAAGAACTATAATTTTCAGCGACAACATATTAGTTGATGAATTATTACTTTTGCTTTTGAGTTTTATCAATAACGCGGTAAATATATGTTTATGTTTAGGGTCTTTAAATAATACCTAAACTTATTAAGATAAGCTGTCTTTTTAATCTTGACATTACGTAATCGATCAAAGCAAAAGTATAATTGTTCCTAGATAAAGATCAAAAATTTTATATCGGTAGTTATGGATTTTTATCTGCTCACCATTTCTAAGCATGGTGCATACCAGGGCCCGTAGAAGCAGCCAGCGGTCAAATCGACTGTGTTGTGACCAGCGACGTAAAGAAAATCCGGTGTGTACAGTAAGCACCCCCTGCCAGCCACCCAACGATAAACTTGCTCATGGTATCGCACGTTCCGGTAGTTGCAAATTTTGCCTTCATCCGCAGCGATTATGTCAGGAGGTTCCTAAAATAATAGTAAAGCTACTGTAACGCCCTTCGAACTATATACCATTTCAAAATTAGCGTCAAATCTTTAAGTATTCGGCCCTATCGGGGTCCATCTGGGTTGCGTGAGATGAGTTTGTGGTCGCGCCCCGTCGGAAGATTCGGAAGTCAGTTTAGCCGATTAATGATTTAGTTAAAAATGTGTCACGATAGTTTTGATAGTTTAATTAATGATAAGACTAAATAATTAATCGGCTAAGCTCACATCCAATCGGTGTACGTACCGACTAGTTTCGGACCTGTTGGAGTTCATCAGGCTCCAGTGAGCCGAGTTCATGGTCGCACCCCGTCTCGCACTGATTCGATATATCAGTCAATTTATCGTCAGTTTATCCGATGAATTATTTAGTCAATAATTTCCCACAAAAGTTTTAATAGTTTAATTGATGATAAGAGATTACCGCTTATGAACATTCACAATTGAATGCCAGTATAAATTAGAAATAAAAAATAAAGGAGGGAGTATTTTTAAATAAATGTTAAAAGATTGCAACCCCATTGGTGTTTTGTTGTGAAAGACTATAAATTAAATCCCTTCCAGCATACAAACAATTTCGAATACCGTTTTTCAACGATAATTCGAACGAGAGATGTCGGCATTGCTTACCTCACAGATATAAACATTTGGTTTATCACACGCCAACTCATCGTTTGTTCTTGTAGCGACCCGCGGCTGGCGCGGTGACCAGATGCTTCGATCCGATTTCACTGGGTTCTGGATATCATCCAAATAGGCGAGATCCTTCAACAAAAATATTTTGAACTCTTAGGGGAGTATGTTTCATTTCTTGAAGCTATGTCAGTATAAGTATAGATAAAAATTTGTCTGTATATAATGTAATCTGTCCTTGTAAGAGTAAATTCCCTGATATGCAGAAATTTAATTTCTTTGTACTTTGAAATCAATTTAAAAGTATTCAGGATATACAAAACAGCATTTAAAATGCAAAGAAATAATAAATTAACTGCTTTTTCAAGATTAACTGTTATTCTGAAGCACGAGGTTATCGAAAATAGTTCATTGTATCGCAAATTACGACGCTATAGATCAGACTTACAAAATAAATATAACGTAGTATTAGACATAGAAAGTCAAATGATTACTTTGCGTTTTGAGTTTGTATTTTCACCTAGCTTATTTCTTTCTATCTCAATTTTTTTAAAGACAACTTCCTTGTATCTTGTATCTTGTATTAACTGATGTTTGTGCTTTCAGTCCAGAGACTATTAAAGCTTCATCTGACGCAGAACCGGTGGGCTAGCCAGAACCCACGGGTTTGGGCCCTCCGCTGTGGGTAGGGCCGCGCATGTGCTCATGCGTGCGTTTAACTACGGCATGTCATCTAAGGGCCATCGAAGTAGCGGTGCGGACCGAGACCCCGATGGCCGTCGACTGTGTTTTTAGCTAATCGGTGGCTGGGGGCGGTGAGAACCGCCCTGGAACGCGGGTGTACCTTGTGTACGCGTTGTGTTGGTCTCGCCGTGCTCGGAGGCGAGGGCGAACTAATGTGTTTGTTGCTACACTAACTGTGTGTGTAGTGTTATCCGGCGGGACCCCCGACGGTGGGTCCGACGTACCTAAGTCCCCTTCCTCGACCAGGTCGATGAGGACGTTTCGCGGGCGACGCTTGTTGACGCTCGCGTTTAGATCGGGTTGGTAATTTGCTGCGCTTACCACCAGAGGGTTGGGATGATGTTCGGCTCTATCGAAGAACCGTTTGGTCAGGTCTTTGAAAAATTCGCGAATCATCGGGAGTCTGCAATCACTGTGCAGGTCGACGTTGCGTTGATACCACTGCGCACCGGTTGCGCGGCGGATGAACTTATTTTGCACTACTTGCAACTTGTGCAAGCGAGTAGGGTAAGACAACTTCCGCACTAGGAAATAAACCTTGTGTCTTGCGTACTTGGTGACCAATAACACCTATGCGCTATCCGGTAGAGCGATGAATCATACAAGTTACTACTACTTCAATTTAACTCAGTGAGTTGGCCGTTTTAATTTTCGTTAGTTACAGATAAGATAAAACTCCGTTTGTTTATAGGTCATATTGACAAGGTATTCAAATCGAAAACAACGTTCCCATTTTCATCTAACCAAACGGTTATCTCCAGTTCGAAATTTATTATAGCAATAACAAAATTTGACGCTATCGACAGTATTTTTAGGGTTTCGTGCTCAAATGGTAAAACGAAATCCATTACTAGGACTCCGCTGTCTCTGTCTGTCACCACGCTGTTTCTCATGAACCGTGATATGTATATTTATTTCCGCTATACTAATACTAATACTAAAAAACAGAATTAAAAAAATGTTTAAGTAGCTGCCATACAACAGACATGATATTTAGCCATTTTTATAGATATATTGGCACGGAAGCGCGAGTCCGACTCGCACTTGGCCGGTTTTTTTATTTAATTTAATCTAATTGCAAAACTAAGCTACACAGATCAGTGTTTAATCAATAATTAACCATATGGTTATTATAGTATATTAGGCACTTTTTTATGTGAGAAAGTTGCAAACGAGCGGGCGGTTTACCTGATGTTATTTAGGGTTGTAAATGCATTGTTTTCTTTTAATAAAGTCGACCTCGTTTACCTCACTCACCAGACGAATCGCAGACGTATAAGACTTCCACTTCACGCCAGTCTTTTACAGTCTAAAATAATCTCTCTTTTTATTCATGTTAAATTATTTTAAAATCTTTAAAATGATAAGGAGGTAAACAATATAGGTAATGAAACACATTCACATTTAAAATTTTCAATAAACCAATATTTTAAGAAATCGGCCAAATGCGAGTCTGGTTCGCGCACGAAGGGTTCCGCAACACGGCAAAAAAATTACAATAAAAGAACCAACATCAGAAACAGGAACTCTAGTTGCACTAAACTGTTTAAATTAATACTTAATTATATCTTGAAAATCTAACCTATATAACCTAACCTACCTTACCTTTAACAAAATTTAACAATTTTTGGAGTCGGTCAAGATTCATCATGGGTAATATTTGTAGACCCGTTGAAAAGTATTTCAAAAATTAGATTATCTATGTTACGTTGGTTAAATGACGAAAATTAAGAAATTACAATAATTCGTACTCGTTTGGCTAAAAGTTTATTTACGAAGATTACCGTCTTTCAATACAATTACATTACATGTCTATTCTAACTAGTGTTTGCCTAGTTGTGGAAATTCGACCATAATTATTCATGGTAGTGTGTGTAATTTTTTTTGATTGATTTAATGTTTTGCATATTCAAAAAATTTGTGTTGATTTGCATATTTATGCATAATTAAAAAAAGTATTAGCATTTTGCACTTCTCCGTCCGCGCAATTTTTGTAAAAAGGGGTACAACTTTTTTGCCTCAGGTATTAATAAATATATTAAATTTGTTATAACTACGTAATAACTGAAAATAATACTGTTAGGTTTGACAGCCAATTAGGTTCGTCCGGTTAAATAGTAGCAGTAAAACCAGCGTGAAGTGGAAAAGTTATACTTCAGCGTTTCGTCAAGTGAGCGAGGTAGCCGGGATTTACTTTGTTATAAGATGGCAACGCATTTGCAACAATACGAGCGTTGCAAATGTCAATGGGTGGCAGTTATCACTTAACATCAGGTGAACTGCCAGCTCATTCGCCACCATCTCACATAAAAAAAGTTGGTTAGTGATAAAGATTTTCAACTAAATAGTGACAACGTATTGTTATTATATATGATTAGTTTTGCCGACTTTCGATCGTTTAAATTAATTTTTAAAATGGTGACTTCGTATACTTTCCAGTTTTTTGTCCGCCCTTCCTGTGACCATGAGTTTATTTATTTCGTACATTTTTTTTTATATATTACTACATTATAAAACGCCAATAGGTCCTTAAGGAAAACCGATTCTTGCACAAGACTTGCCAAATCAGGGTCAAGATCATTGTACTTTGACTAGAGATAACCGTTTTATCATATCTCTACTTTGGGAAATCGTCTCTGCAAAACCCTGTTACAGCTCGTTTACGTCTTTCAGTATAAAATGTTGAGGTAGGTGTGTTTAAAAAAATAGTTACTTTACGACATGAAAGATCTTAATGGTCTAAATTAATAATTGCATTCGATTCTTTCATGTTTGTGCCGTGATGGCTCAGTGGTCTGGCGCTCGCCTTTAATTTAACATACTCGAGCAACCTCATTTCGATCCCCGATGCCGAACTGGGTTTAACGGGAACTGGGCCGGTCGTAAAAAATATAGCCAAACCGCTTAAAACATGATTTATATATTGCGCCGACCCCACCTAAGTGGATGAGTAGGAGGATGCTGATGATTTTCTTTTTTTTATGTGAAAATTTGCCAAGCGAGCGTCTGCTCGTTGTAACCGCCTGGTTAACCTGATGTTAATTGAGTACCATCGCCCATGGACATCTGCTACAGCCGAGGGTTGTAGATGCGTTGACAACCTTTTGAAAATTGGGCTCCGGCCCCCTCACTCATCAGACGAAACGCAAAAGTATTATACTTTACGCCGATCTTCTGTAAGGTCCTGGTACTTACCCGGACGAGCCTGCTCATTCGTGCAACAGCCTAGGCTGCTGCGTGGCCCTTTTAATCGTTCTCCGTTTTAAGTCCCGGTTTCAGTGTGACGCCGTTTTCTCTTACGAGCAGCGTCTTTGTTAGGTCTACCTATATTTTATAATAGCTAAGTATTAAAATCAAAGTTTTTTTTAACAAAGAAAGAAGACAAAGACTTCAAAAATCTATCGCCACTAAAAATCTAAATATACTGAATATAGTATAAGCAAATCTGTAAAATCTAACCCATAATATAACTTAACCACTAACAAAATTTAACAATATTTGGGGTCGGTGCTAACCGACTACAACTAACAAAATTCAACTAACAACTTTGTTAGAATCTATGATCTGAGGATAAAATCATTCTCTTAACTTTGACACAATTTAGATGGATTCGATACGACCCCGACGTTTCGAACAATTTACTGCATGTAAGGTCACAGAATAGACTACAGTGTTGTACGTACATCTTAATATAAGCCCGGCCTACCGTCAACTTTTAATTATTAACCTTGTCTGATCAACGCAGTATGAGCTCACTGTATCTTAGTCTTGAAGCATTGTTGAGCTTAGTGCTTGTTCACGTAGGATCACGCGGGCGCGGTGGCGAGTGCAGGTGCGGTAGACGTTGCGATCTCGTGTTCACGTTAGCCGCCAGGCGTTTGCGCGCGTATGACAGACAGGTTTTCAGAAGTTGAGAACATGGACGACGATCTTATATTTTTAACTGAAAAGTCATAACTAAAGTGGAAGATGCTGAACCGGTACGGTAAAAAGAGAACGGTATGGTTACATACTGGTTTTGATTACGTACTGGATTCAATAAGGCGAGTCATTTCAATAGTAGAAGACATAAAAAACGTGTTATCATTTCTAGCGAAGAGTTCAAAATGGTTGAATTTACCTGACGTCGCGAGTTCACAGCGCGCTCGGCCGCTAGTTCGACGTGAACACGCACAAACGTCTCTAGTGTTTGATAATATCGCGAACGCCGCGCGCGTGCCAGTCGTTAGTTTGCCCGCTACTTAAACCGCACGTGCGTTTCGTACGTGAACACTTGGATACTAAAGGCCCATTTACACGATGCCATTTTCTTGTACATGCAAGAGCAATAATTGCATGCAATAAATTGCGCGCAATAATTGGTTAGACCATTTGTTGTTTAGACCATGCAACTTATTTATTGCTTCAATTTAATTGTATACAACAGGCAAGAAACTGGCACCGTGTAAATGTGCCTTAAGTCATATGTTTGATATTTCGTGACCGCACGAGTCAACGTGATCAAGCACTTAGATTTAATTGTATGAATTATATCATCATCTTTCTTTCCCATTATATTATAGGATCGTGAAATTATGATGTTTCTTTATTCATAGTTATCAATAACAATCTTAATATACAACATACGATGTAATTAAATAATTTTGACGGTCTATAATGTAGTCACAAAATTATTTTTTTAAGCCGGCGCTTATTTATATTTTTATCACTTAACTAGCGGACCCGACGGACGTTGTCCTGAAAATACGACTTAAATCCGAAAACAACTTATAATAAAAAAAAATTTAGTGGACAGAATTATGAATCTAAACCATTCTCGAATCGACCTGAAGACACACACAAATTACATTAAATTCGGTCCAACCATTTAGGAGTTAAGTGTCACACACATGTACAGAAGATAAATATATATATATATATACATCACGCTATTGTGCGTCCACTATGGACAATCTGGCGTGGAAATTGCATATAATCTGGCGTCCACCTGCTTTGGACGTCCGATATACGGACGTGGGATCGGAGAATGTTCTCAATGATCGCGGCTTGCCTTGGTGATATCAGAAAAGTCAAAAGTAAAAAAATTATTTGGACGTCGGTTCATCGGCAATCTTGCGTTTCTGTATATTCCTTTAGTTCCACTAGATTTCGTACCAAAAACTAACGGCGCTGTCGTCATTATTCTAACCTTTCATTGCTAGCCGTATGTGACGTCCAGCGATAGATCGAAATGCGACGTTGCGACATCGTGCACACCACTTGAATTTATACGATTTTGTTAATTGTTTATTATATTCGCGATTCGTGAGTATACACATTTTTCACAAGCTTTCACTTGATATGTGATATTGCGTCCGCCTTTTTAAGCGAAATGGATTGTTTTCATTTTGAGTAGATACTATTTTATAATATGAATTCAAGTAATGGTAGGTAAAAACGGACTTAACCGAATTCGAAAAAAGAAGGAGGCTCAAATCTTCTGTCCTTTATATTTAAGCCTGACTGGTTTTGTTTCTACTTTTTAACATACCTACCTTAATTTTTTATTATATGTTAAGTACAATAATTATTTCATTGCCAAATATCAAAGTCGTTATGCCTCGACATAGAAGAATACATAAAAATGACTGTTATGACTAAAAACGTACTAAGTTAAGTATTATTTAGAATATAAAATAGTAAATAATATAAAACAAAATAATTGTTTATTTTCACGATCGACCATGGCATATTGTTGTTCATATGAATGAACCCGATTTTTTTTTATTTTCTTGGATTTCCTAAGTTTTGTTGCCTCCATTGTCCAAACATTATATTTATGATCATTATTATAAAGATGAATCCGATTGTTGTTGTTAATTTTACACTAAAATTAAAACGTTATTGTGTCAAATTATATTAAAAAAAAATTTTATGTAATTTTTTAATATAAAATTAAAATGTTATATTTGAATCCGCGATTTAATTAATTTTACATTTGTTTCTGTTTATTGTTTAGCAGGCTTTAAACTAAGACATATAATGGTTATACACATATACGGACGTTACAATGTCTTAAAAGTTTTACAACATTTGTCATTTGACGTCCAGGATGTCAAATGAATAATAGCTTGAAACTTTTACGACATTGCAACGTCCGTATACTCGTATAATTATATCTAAATACCTGTAAAACGTGCAAATGATTACATAATTTATATAGAAGTTTGAAGCTAAGCGCAAGCTCTTGGATACATATATTATTTTCCCTGCCCTGCGTCAACCTAGTCTGATCATCAGTGTTCGGGATTCGCGCCCAACAGGCTTTACGGCGGGTTTTGCTTAACTTCAAACGTCTATATAAATTATGTAATCATTTGCATATTTTACAGGTATTTAGGTATTATACGAGTATACGGACGTTGCAATGTCGTAAAAGTTTCAAACTATTATTCATTTGAGATCCTGGACGTCACATGACAAATGTTCTAAAACTTTTACGACATTGTAACGTCCGTATATGTGTATATACATTATATGTCTTAGTTTAAAGCCTGCTAAAACATAAACAGAAAAAATCTAACATTAATAAAATCGCGGATTGAAATATAACAACATAATTTTATATTAAAAATTAAACATTAATATTTTTATATAATTTGACCCATTTAACGTATTAATTAATGCTATCGTAATAAACGACATTTGAAGTCATATTTTATTTTTCATAACCATAAACTTCACATTTACTCTAGCATGCCTGTTCTTTAGATATATAGTAATTATCCACCAAATTATTATATCTTAATACAGAAAGCACAGCGGCAACATCGCACTGTTCATAGGAGTTTTAATAGATAGGAAAATGTAAATAAAATTATGTATATTATGGGAAGCCAGATAATTGACAGTGTTGGGTGGAGTCCTAATTGATTTCACTATGCTTGTTAATTTACGTATATTTGTATATATATTAAGAATTAAAATTTCTGAAAAATAAGTTGTAAGCAGTGTTTGACACTGCCCTAGTGACTAATATTCGCAGTAAAAGTTGAAAATTTTTTAGTGGAACTGGTGGACTTCACAATAATGCCAAATGAAAGGGTGCCCAAAAGGTAGCGTGATGTATATATATCTTTTTTAAATCACATTGCGGCTATGATTGCACCTCAGCTTTTAATTTTAGTCCCAAAAAACAAAAAATCGCTGTTTCATTTATATCTGGTAATAGGTGCTCAAGTGGTACCATCAAGTTTTCATTATTAGAAAGAAAACGCCATCATTAGATTATAATGATGTCGTTTTCTTTCGATTATTCTTGTCTTACTGTAAGTTCACCGCAACTAGCCACGGTATAAAAAACTTTTCATAATCACAATTTATTTGGAACCAAAACTTTAAACAGTTGGTCCTTGAAGATACAAAAGAATGCGCTGTGATTATTTAACGTTAAACTACACTGGGACGTAGGGCCAGATTTAGAGTTCTGGAGGCCTCGGGGCAACAAAGGAGTGGAGGCCCCTTGCCCCTAAACTATTTTCCATTGATTTCTTTCTGTTAATATTTAATTTAATCATGTTTGTAGAAAGTACTGTAGGTAAAAGTAAAACGCGACAAAAAATTATGAAAGTTGTTTACTATTGTTTCATCATCATCATCATCATTTCAGCCTGTTTGAGTCCACTGCTGAACATAGGCCTCCCCCATAGACTGCCATGAAGTACGATCCTGAGCCACCTGCATCCATCGACTATTGTTTACTAGTCTGAATTTGAATTTTTTTTCCAAAGTCCCTGCTGGGACGAGATCTAGAAGTTACCTGAGCGCCGTGCAAAACCGCGTTCGGTACAATCCAAGGGAGACAAACAATCACAGACAAAACTCTAAAACCGTACATTTTGTTGTAGCACTTTCACCACACTGAATCATAATGAAGTTTACAATATTAGGGAGATGCGAGGGCGATCATACAAACAAAATAGATTTTAGAGTGTCTCTTCAACGTCACCGTATTCGCTAATGGACCGTTCGATAACAGCCCCTCGCATTCCGCCTCGTGTCGTAACCAAAACAGCTTTGTTTATTGCGCTAACAACGGGTATTTTCTTTCGAGATCGCGAAAGCACTAATTGTACTAGCACAGATGTTTACAAATTATCGTCGTCCGCCATCAATTGTTATCTGCCCGTTATAATCGCTTAAATCACCACGATTGCAATATCTACAATTTGGACGTTGCTTTTTCGTGTTTCGTGATCGAAGTTGGAAGGGATTCAGCCATAACTAACTATGAAACGGATAAGGTGAAGGAAAGGAAACTTTATTTGGGTAACAACGGAATAAAAGACTTATGCCCTAATAAAAAACGCATATAAAGTATTCAAAGTAAAAACTTTACTAGTCTCTCTAGGAATGGCACGTAGGAAGAGGATTTTTATTCTTTCTCTCCACATATAACAAAAAACTCTTTTAAGCCTTTGCAATTTACTTGTATTCAGGCGTAAAACCGACCATATTATAAAAGTAAATCGCAATTATCCACGTAGTTACGTGACGTTACACGTTTATGATTTGTATCAGAAACGGAAGTCAACGATATATATCGTTTAGCCTCACCAGATAACACGTTAGAATTTTTTTTCTAACATTGTATTTCGATCTTTTGTTTGACGTCCATAAACAAAGTTCACGTTATTTTGTTTATTCCAGCGGAAATTCATTGTTGTATGTGATTTCCTGTGTAACTAATTTGCCTTACGTGCCTTTGTAAAATGTAAGAAACTGTTTATATGAGTCACTCAGATAATAATAACAATTTTTTTTTGTAAAATCCTCAGAAAGCACCATATGTGTTGATACGGAAAGTATAAAGGTAATATACAGCGTGTCGTTACCATCGCGACAATAAATGAACACACGTCTAACGCTACTTGCCAATAATCATAAAAAATATTAAGGTTAAACAAAATCCATAATTAAAAAAAAATATTTTTCAAACAAACTAATTAAGTAAAAAAGAAACAAAATTTGTAACATCCTATACAATAAAATCACATATCCTATACAATATTGTCGCGGTGGTAACGACACGCTGTATACGTACATATCCTATACAATATTGTCGCGGTGGTAACGACACGCTGTATACGTACATAAATTTTTTAAAAATATTTGTGGCTATGCGCTTATTAGAAAAGGTAGGTTTATAACTTTATCATTCGATAAACCAATAATCAATAAGCAGCAAGCCTCCTAACCCCCAGGTGGATCTGGGGATTGGGAAGCCGGCCAGGAGGACCTGGTCTGTGGCTCCGGCGCTTACCATATTTCGGCCGCGGAAGGGAAATCGGTGCACCGTAATACCGACACAATTCCTACTCGGTAGCAGAAGACAGGGAGAGTGGATCCTCCTCTACCACCCTCTACCTGTCCCCTGCACCCTCCAGAGTGGACTCAATGAGCCCGCTTGGAGCGGCCCTGTCGGGCCGGCCTTGCACCACCAACCGGATCAATATGGGTTCTACTTAACTTCGCGCTAGGTGACCAAGCCACGGCCACTAAGCCCCTGTGCCGCGGCAAGGCGGAAACTCGGTCGAAGGGGTTTAAATCAATATCTTGTAATAGCCTGGTGAACTTAAGTAATTAATTGTTCTTCAATAAATGTTAACTTTCATCGGATTGTAGTCCAGGATCGGAATTTTCGATAGGAAATAACTCATTTTTTATTTGGAATTTGTGACAAAGAGTATAAAGTCCTTTCTTATCAAAAATTTAATCAACTGAACGAAGATGACATAAATAGCATTATTTTAATTACAATTTTTTCTGGTCAGTTTCAAAATTATTACTTTACAACCTAATTCTAGTATTAAGTACATTAACTACGATGTATTTGAGTATAGTTCTGTTGCATCGATGTTAACTCTTTGGTGTTCTAACAGATGGCGTTAGTAGTACAATAACATTCTATCCGTACCAAATTGTTAATGTTCATGTCCTTTTATGAGTATGAAATTATATTTTTTCTAGACATGAAGTTTTTTTTATGTTAAAAGTTGCCAAACGAGCAGGCGGTTCAACTTATGTTAAGTGAATACCGCCGGCCATGGACATCTGCTACACCGTTTGCAGATGCGTTGACAACCTTTTTGGAAATTGGGCTCCGGCCACCTCACTCACCAGACGAAACGCGAACTCCACTTTACGCCGGTATTCTGTGAGGTCGTGGTACTTACCCTGACGAGCCTGCCCATTCATGCAACAGCCGAGGCTGCTGCGTGGCCCTACCACCGTTAAAAGAAGTTAAATTACTATGTTAAAGCACAAATCTATAGGCGTGATAGTTTTTCAGTAAAGTGTACCACAAAAATGCTCAAGTGGTGCGTAACTTTTTATATTTGCGGGTATATAAAATGAAATTCATCTCATTTATTAAAATGGAATATATTTATCTTCTCTATATGAGTTCGTTTGCTTGGAGAAAGCGATGACTTCGAATTTCAAAGATATAAGGTGAACACGTGTCACTCGTATCTATGTTGACCTCATTAAACATCCTGCATTTTACAGACATTTATAATCATTACTATAAAGGAAGATTCACATTGGGATTCCTTTGGATCTTTCAATGTATTCACTGATTGCGGAAAATAAAGTCATTATTTTTATTTAAATTTAAATTTTCTGCAAATTTTTATTTCTATATGTAGGTATAAATTTTTGTGACAACTTTAGGGAGTTCAATCAGTTCCGACTTCTCATTTGTTTTAATTTTATGATATTCTTATTTTTTAAATTTTTCCAACAAGCCATTCATTTTTGGCTTGATCAACCACTGTTGGCCTCCCAAGGAAAACAGTGCTTGATCTAGCCTATACTGTTAGGGCTGTCACGCTATTATTATTTTCACTGGTTTCGGAGGTCACCAAGCTCTTAGGTCACTTTGGCGATAGCTTCATGGAGTCACTAGACTCTAGGGCCCGCGATAGGGGACCCCGAGGCTGCTCTCTGGGGCACCTTCGGCCCTCTCGGAACTCAGGTCGATTGGTAGCTGTAGTCTGACTCGAAGAATTTTTAAAGCTATTTTTAGCGTTGGGACTGGGAGAAGAAGTGGCGAAAGAAACTTCAGCAATGCTTCTATCATTAAGGAGGGAAAACCTGCCAGGTACATGGTGGAACCTTGTAAATCTTTGCCGCACTCGCCGGCGAATGCTTACTGGAAGGTGCCGGGGAGGGTGGGAGAGGTGGAGCCACTCTCCCTGTCTTCTGCTACCGAGGAGTGTCGGTATTGCGTTGGCCGAGCTCCCTATCCTCCGCGACTCGGCGGAGCTGCACCTTGATGCAGTGGTGGTGGGGCCGCGGGGGGAGAGGAGTGTCGATATTGCGGTGCGCCGTTCTGCTTACCCTCCGCGGCCGAAAAGTAGTGAGTGGCAGAGCCACAGACCAGGTCCGCCGCTGGGAGCTGGGAGGCTTGCTGCTTATTAGCACTGGCTCTCCTGGCTCCCATGGCCCCTGGTCAGCGAACGCGGGGAATGTTCGTTGGCCGGGAAAAGGGGTCGAGTAGGCAGGCGCGCTTAATGTTCTAGCGCGCCGTACCTGGAGGAGAGGGGAGTTGATCCCCTGGAGGGGGCTGCTTAGGCGGCCAGCGTTGGTGGTGTCGTGGAAGTGTGCAAAAGCGTTCCCGTGCCCCTGCTGATATGCGCAAAGGTGTAATCGTGGAGGTTTTAGTCGCTGCGAGTCCGACATAGCCCGATCTTGCCCCCGCGAGGGCGGGTATGCGTAGGCATTTCCCCCACGTAAACAAAAAAAAAGGATATTTCCTATAGAGTTCACAATTGCCATTTTTGGTTAAGGGCAAAATTTTAAAGCGTATTGCCATTATTTGACTACTACAGCTACAATTCTACGCAGTGGGACGGTAATTTTCAAAAATGAATGCATCGTTATATAATCAACAATGTAACCGTAATTCAATAAGGAAAGTAAAATAACAGCGTATATATAAATGTCCCACTGCTATCCGAGATCTTATTTGTACAAAGAGTACATAGTTCACCACACGACCCCACCACAAATCGTATATACACAATGCACATAAATATTCAATTTTTTTTTAGTTTTTATTGTTTCCAAAATGTGCACGAAGTTAGTATATTACATGATAAGTCAGCACTTAAAAATTCAATTAATAACTAAGGGGGAAAGAGGAGAGAAAACTATATACAAATAAGAGGTAGATATGACACTAGCGCACCGACCATGACTCACTCAAATTACGCCAATTAGTGTAATTACATTGCAATTCAATAGACTTCTATATCCTTCCGTATCACATGTTCTATAACATCTGTCACATTCACTTATGTATGTCACATATAATGTAAAGCGGAAATTTTTTTAAACTTCACGCAGTATGGACATGCGTAAACATAATTTGTTGTTCCACATGCTGACACGGCATGTGGAACTCTGGTTGATAGAGTAGTTTGAATTACAAATGAACGAACGGGCAATGAGCTATCTGGCTTTTCAATAAGAAACATACCCAAATATCGTTTATATATATTTTAAATTTTATCATTAATACCGTACAGTCCAAAGAGACAACCTTGAAAACGCACTTGAATAGTTTTTTATAAAACCTGGGTTCATAAACAAAAATTCGGACATGACCTGCGAACCGAGATTATAAAATAATCTATGCCTCAGATAATTTAACGAATTAAGTGAATAACAGCCCACAAAAATGAAAACTCTACCACTAATTTTAAAAATGAACCATTATTTTGTTCATTTTCGTACCAATAATTACAGAATATGAGTTTAATACTTGTGCAAAATATTTGTTATGTGTAAGTTGACGATAATGTACGTGCAAGTCACATAAAAATTCTTTCG